AACAAAAATGGTCAGGAAGGGGCAGTTGAGAAAGTTGAAAAATGAGTTTCCCGGGAATCGGGAGTGGGGAGGATGGGAAGAGATTTGAAAAGCTGTCCGAGGGAAAAGAGGACTAACGATACTCCTTATAGTTCTGTCTGCGTTGAGCTTCGGAAATATCTCACCCTCAAAATATAGCACACTCAGCATTTCACTTCAACCTAGCTTCGAGAATCCCAAAATCGGCCGGCCTGCTCAAATGAGAAGAACGGTCGTTTATATAAAGATGTATAATTATCATTAGTGACTCAAAGATTACACACACGGTAAATTCAAAACCCCGGCAGCCTGTACAATAAATAAACGCCCCGAGCTGATAAGCTCAATCCACATACTCCATTTCCATTTCCAGTGGCTTCATTCCCAAGTTCATTACCCTACATTCGCTTTTGAACGCCAGTTAGGAGATTAGGCAGCTAAAGAACGGAAGTCAGTATGTGGGCTAGATAATAACGATAGTAGATCGTTTTCGCTATGTAAATACTTTCACACGTACCTATGGTCATGATATTCTCAAAACACCATTCACTCTAGCTTTGCTCATCATAGAAATCGATCAAAAGCCTGAAACATCCTCCTACCACAAGGGCAATCTGTGTATCGCCTGTGGTAAGCGTAGCCACGGCAACCTTGTGTTCTCTCCATGGGAACACCACCCATTCCCATACTGCCCGTAGAAACACGTCGGGGAATGAAGCCACAGGAACATTGCTGCAAAGGTCCAGCGGCAGAAGAGAGATGCTCGTGGTAAGCGTAGCCACGGCAGCCTTGTGTTCTCTCCATGGGAATACCACCCATTCCCATACTGCCCGTAGAAACACTTCGGGGAGTGAAGCCACAGGAACATTGCTGCGAAGCTCTAGCAGCTGAAGACAGATATTCGTGGTAGCTGTAGCCACGGCAGGCCATAGGTCTCTCCATTGGAACACCGCCGACCGAGCTACCACTCACTGAATCACTTCTGCCGTCCATGCCACCAGTACCTTGCTGTTGCGAGTCGGCAGTTAAAACAAAGGATTACCGTCATTGTCTGCGACAGCTTGTTGATTTATGGATGGGCGTGGGGACTAGAGATACATGCTATTAGTAATCATATCAAACATCTTCAGGGTTACCGAGATTCATGCTCTACACTTCTCGATGACGCTGGGAATGCCAAAGATTCAATAACATTGTTTGTCGGAATTGAAAACTTCAGAAGCACAAATTGCAAAATGAATTGTACTTGCAGGAGGAGAAGACGATTTGTCCCTTTGGTTGTTTCCGTTTTCATTCATTGTTATCGTTGTCGATTTGTTGTTTTACTGTCGTGATTGATGGATGTTGTTATATTTTGGTGTTCCTAGAGATTGAAAGTCAATCTGTCATGTAGAAGAAGATGATATGCGCCAAGCGGAAAGAAAGCTAAAATTCCACTAAGTTATAGTCAGTCCTGAAGTCACATGAGTTCTCTAGATTTCGAAGACACTGGAAGGGTACAAGCGTGACATCACAAATAGAATAATTGCTTTTCTGTAATCACACGCCGCTGTGGATCTCTATTGAAGTGTAGATCACTCGAGAAATACTTGATTCGTAGGAAGTTTGCAACAAGTATTCGAAGTGGCTTGCATTGACTCCATGTTTGCGATGGAAAACTTCAGTATTCATCATTTTGCAACTTTTCTAATACATCTTGGACAAAATTTCACACAATCTGCAGGCGATAATCATGATGAACGCGTCTCCAAATCTGGACTGAAACTCAACATATAGGTCTTTTCTTATTCTATATGCAGAGAAGTTCGCAAGAGCTTCCCTGTCTACAGAGAACTATTTGCAGAAAAGTTGGGAAAGCTATCTAGTCAAGATGTCAGGAAGTCGAACTCACGATTGCGAGGTCTCCTCCGTCTAGCAATAAGCCAAAACTTTCTATCCGTTAATTCACGAGGGTCTATCAGACCAGAAATCTCGGTAAAATTCAAATCATAGAACTGAAAGTAGCAACGCAATCTATCCGTAGGAGTACCACTAAAGGTCATGAGGTATCATACAAGGGAAGAGCAAACCAGTGCTGACCCTATCTATCCGGTCCCTTTCATCTGCTGCCTGGATTATCAAGATTTTTGTAATTAAAACTTTTGTCGGTATGCCACGGGCTCCTGTTTATTGCTGGAGAAGTTGAAAATGATTTGGTGGTGTAATATTTGGCTTCAGATTGAGATCTGGGAACTTCTCTCTAAGATCTCTCGTCTTTTCATGTTGACAACTACCTGCCATCCACTTCATAAGGACTATCTGTTCCATTCCTGCATAGTTTCTGACCTATGTGTGTAATCGGTTTGTAGTTGACAAGGAGAGAACGAAGGGCTGGTTGATGACTCAGAGGATTGGCCACTTCCTCTTTCGGACCCGAAAAATTCATGTAAGGAAGAAGGGGATGCGGCGGTACAGTTTTCATTTCTCACCTAGAAGAAGTCAGTTATCGCGGGATTGCTTATCTTGAGTTATATGTATGCTTACAGTTGTGTACTGCTGAGTCTCAAAACCCTGTGTTTGGACGGCAGGCATTTGAAATTGATCATGCGACTGATTAGATAGAGTATCGGTTGCTCTAGGTTCCCATAAGTTTCTCTCTGGGAATAACGGCGAGTGTGGTTCATCAAGAGCTGATATATAATTGAAGTTATATGAGCCCCAATCAGAAAACGTATGGCCCATTTGCTGGAAAGAATAACTTGGTTGTTGGGTATCAAAACGTTGAGGTGATGGAAGGGATTGACAATGGTTATTAAACTGTTGCACTTCATGCGTCAACGGTGCAATCATTCCCTGGCCCATGTGCTGGAAAGACGTCGAGTATGGGGGTATCCGTCCCATTTGGTCCATGTGCTGGAAAGAGTCTACACTCTGAGGCACTTCTTGTACTTGGCCCATTTGCTGGAAAGAATCTGCCTCTTCAAACATCCAGGTCTGAGTTGTTTCATCATGATTCAACTGATATTCCTGATAGATTTCGGATAAGCCTGATCCACTGTACTGAGCTTCACATTCTACCTTGAATCTTTCCAGACTGCCAGAATGCTTATGACCCTTTCGTTTGATTGGCTTCTTTTGAATGACCTTAGGAGATAGTGGTTTTGAATTTGCTTTTGTAACTCCTAACTTTCCAGCATGCTTCTTGTTGTGCTCTTCAATTATTATGTCGATGCTATTCTTTTCTCTGCGACGACTGGAAGGTCTTGATGCCATCATGGAATGAGACAAGTCCTCCCTGTGCTTGTGTTCATGTCTGTTATCTTTATCTGACAAGAAGGAGGTTGACAAAGAAGAAGATCGTTCAAGCACAGCTGGTGGTCTTTCGATATTGGAGATTGTGTTGGAAGAGGGCGACATTGTTGCAAAGGTGGAATGATTTTGATAAAATTGTGATGACGTGCCAGGAGAATCAGTAGTGGGATCTTGAACCAAGGATAGTGATGTCTGCTTAAGACTATTAGCTACTTGTAAGTTGATTGAGAACAAGGGGTACTATGTACTGTAGAACGTTGAATATTCCCGACACTCTCCTCGAACTTTGTGCCAATTGGCATCATCGACTGAATTCCTGGTTCTTGATCTCCTCTTGCCCTTGCAAATGAGGAATGCATGCTCTCAGAGGGCTGGTCTTCGCTGTATATTATGGCAGTATCCTTATCTTCCTCAATATTGTCTTCTTTGAGAACAAGGGGACTTTCTCTTAGCAGGTTAAGGGTTTCATCGTCGTCGTTTGCTTCTAGCAGATCATAGAACTGCCGCTCTCCCCAAATGTCATCAAATAATGACATGATTATTTGAGAAAATTTGAAAGTTGGTAACAAAAGGATTTTTTGAGGGAGGAGCGAAAGGCAAGTTATTTTCGACAGTGGTTGCCAATGAAGGTGGAACCAAAGCAAACTCAATCCACCAGTTCAAGGATTAATCAAATTTTCCCCTCTCGAAAATTAACGAAATTCACCTTTGTGGAAGTTTTTAATGAGATTTAATTGGAGGATAGTTCATCTCATAAATCATGGTTCTTTGGTCTTTTTCTAAATCACAAAACATTCATTGACATGGTAGGATTTTATATATCAAGAGCTTCTGATTTGGAACATCAATTTCATAACAAAGATCACTTAACACCTACTTGAAGTATATTTCAGCTCTTTGGAAAAGATTAGACTATGTTTGGGAACATTGCAGAATCATCATATTAGGTAGATCCCATCCGAATATCTCCTGCTTTCATCCAAGCATTAGATCACCCCAAGTTCAATTCTTTCGAGTTAAAATATATAGTCTCTGATTCAACCTCCTCTTCAGAATCTGCATCCGATGAATGCGGCCCACTTCTCATTGAGCCAAAGTCGAGATTAATTTTTAATGTCTCTCAAAGGTTATTTTTTAATGCAAAACAAGATAGTCAATATAATAGCCTTCTCAGACAACTTACATGATTAGCTAGATAGACTAATACAAAGGTTGGAAACTTGGACACATGAATCAATCCTAGAGATATAGGTACTAGTTATAGAAAATCAGTGGGAATAGTTGTAGTCATGCATATTCAAGTATTTTCCATAACCACTCATAGATGAATGAGAGAACACATTGCCATGTTATCTAATGTCTTGGCAGAATTATCTCTAACTAGGTATACAGGTATTTCGAATAGATATTCGTTGTGTCCAGACCAGGGCAGAACCCTCTCTGGGCTCTTTATATTCCAAAATGTAGCCGTATACTCATAAGTTCGTCGACTGGCTGCCAAAAACTTAGAACTCCCACCAAATATCCTAACCCAGTATCCTAAGCAGTTTCTTCTTCATGCGATATATAAGTCCAGCAGTGTCTCAATGGACTAGAGAACGAAACAAATTGGCCCGATTCCCGATGTCTTTGATGTCGCAAAAGCTCGGTATCTCCTCTAGTTGGTCGTGCACCATTTATGTCGATTCCATTCATGAGTAAAAGTAGCACATTGTCGCTAGATGGGTATATAAATCTACCAGGTCCTCTGGGCATACGGCGGCGTCTGCTCTTGCCTTCTTAGCCGGGAAGCGTGTGACCCAGGTTCTGGATAGCTTTTGGGAAGAAAGTTTATCTGATGGATTTTTCAGATTGGTTAAATTAGGCGGACTAGCATCGTAATTGTTTTCTTGGTCTTCAAGTGATTGTAGTGGGTTGCTAAATAAATGTGCTGCAAACTGAGGCTCGTCTTCTTCTGGACCTTGCTCTGCCTCTTCGTTTATGTACTCAGACACTTCATCTCGAAGACCTCTGTCGTACAAGAAGTAATCTTCGTCGCTCATGTTCTCTTCGCAATCAAAGTATTCCTCCCAGTCTTCGTCTCCATCCTCTTCAACAACTTCATTCTCTTCATCGGAGTCTTTTAGAAAAGCGGCTTCTAGCTCAGACTCTTGATCATTCGCCCCCGCCTCTTCTGTTGATTCGATTCGATCAGCAGGCTTGCCGTCATCGTTTCTTTGATCGCCAGTGAGAGCTTGTTTGAGGGCATGCTGAAGAGCTTCAAAGTTGAATCTGCTGTATGTTTCCAGACTCCCCCATCGTCCAAGAATATCCGGCATTTGAGATGAGTTTGATTCAGTAGTTGTTTGTGGCGATTCTAGAGGCTCTGCGACTGTTGCTTGGTACGGTTTTGATGGTGACGTTGAGTTTAGGAAGTTTCTCGGTGATTGGGTTCTGACAATCTAATGAATAATAAATATTGATCCTTACTATTGAATTATGCGGGAATGTTTTTTTGCTTACCGAATCTGAAACTCGCGTCATACACGCTTCTTCTCTCATCTCATTCTCCTCCTTTGCGATCAGCTGGTTGAGTTTTGGAATTTCTTTGTCTGCCCACTCGGCTTCTATCTCACTATGACAAGACATATCGATCAAATATGAAGAGTTTAAGTAATTCTCTTTTCTCTCAATAGTTTGGTCAACTGTAAGATGGTGCTATAAAGCCAACGATGTTTTTTAAACCTCAAAGTTAAGTAGATAGATTCTTATATCATGAATATCAAAGTAAACCTCTGGTAAGATCTTATGAAGAATAAAAGGTCTTTGGAAGACAAGTGGTAGAACTAAATATATACAATATTGTTGTTCACTGTACAGTTTTGTAGAAGTACCTATCTACGGCTTCCATGTATTGATAGCTTGTACAACTTTTTGATGAATTTGATCGTAACCCAGGTATAGGTAATTCTCATCAAACTTCATTGGCATGGAGGAAGGTAGATGACAATAGCCAACAACATCAAGCTTTTAATCGCTACAATTTACGGACCGAAATATGAAAACCGTAGTTCGCTGATCGATTGAACTAACACCTAAGTTTGGAATTACATAACTCGCTGTGTGTAAATACGCAACTGATCATACAAATCTTCAAAATTGCAGCTCAAACACCGAGGCACAAAGCTGCAGCGCGTACTGTACTCCAACGAGAAAACCACTGCTTATGATCACGCGCCCACGAACTTCTACAGTCAGAGACTGTATCTTGAACCTGCTTAAGATACGTCAAACAATAACGTAGGTTAGAGCAACCCGGCTTAGGCTTCCTCGTATCAGCGCTTCTCGAATCCACTGTCATATGATCTCGTGGCTTCCATTCTGCTCTCTTCACCTCCGCATATGTTAGTTCTATCCCAAGGTTTTTATATTCTAATCTTCTCAAGACACGCTTTCTAACGCTACCTTTAGGAGATCTTGTCTGGTATCTTCGTCTTCGATGAGGGTTGATTGCCTTCTGGGAATCTTTGAAACGAGTGACCCAATTTTTGGTGGGCGCGGACTGGATGCGAGCTCTTGATTTCTAACTACTCTTTCTAATGCAGTTTTTAATCGAAGAGGAATGGTGGTAGAGCATTTTCCATCGGCTCCGCTGGTTTTGTCTGCAACATTTCCTCCGCCTCGAATCGTATTATTTGCATGCTTCACTGGATTCGTGATTGTTTGCTACATTATCAGTTAGCTCGGGGATTTTGTTGAGAACTCTGGATTTCATGCAATCCGAACTGCAACCAATGTTCAGAGAGTAATCTGATAATACTCTGGGTATTAGGATTTTAACTTCATTCTAAACATGGAAGTTAATTCAGAGCTCCAAAGTCTCCAACTCTTCTACCAGCGCAAATTGTTGAGGAATCCGAAAACTTAAATATAGTGCTTACCGAACTTTGCCGAGCATCTTGATCATCTCTTGACTTTGCTGTATTCTCTCCAGCTAAGATGCCATGCGCGTTTGTAATGTTATCCGCTTTGAACAGATCGATTAACGTCGGGCTTACTGGCGATGCAGAGCGAGAAGATGTGTTATTATTGTCGTCGGATGCCAGACCATCGTTTTGACTGCTGCTAATCATCGACTGCAAGTTTTGATCGTCTTCGGCTATTCTCTCTTGCCCCCCCGACTCATCGGCGCCAACAGACTCATTCGGCACGTTCGGTTCGTTGCTGGAAATCGAATTAGAACATTTCGGACGGAAACGGTGAAACCAGCTTAATTTCAGACGTCTCAGCTGCACGAGAGGAGCCCACCATGGTGACGGCACTTTGATTGGGTTGTGTGGATTGGACAGTGTGCGAGCTTCCTTGCGAGCACGCTGACGTTGACTGAAACCGTAACGTGTCATCTTTTACCAGAATGGTAGATTCTCGCTTTCAAGTTACTCTTGAATAAAATAAGTATCAAGTTGTACCAAACTTTCTGGAGGTTCCAAAATTTAACAGTAATTAATGATATAGATGAGATTATGTTGATGTGGGTGATTAAAAAGACTTTGCTTGAAAATACGAGATCTTTACACAAAATTCCAGTTACCAAGTTTTCGGCAACGTCGATGGAAGGTTCTTTCTTTTTCGAGATTATGATCCCCTATAACCTGGAGATTATGCTCCTGCAGTACTAATTTCCAGTCAGTTGGAGGTGATTTATCAACAAAATGACGTAACTGATATAGCATCATCATTGTGGAGCCATATTGAATCAGATATTGATGGTTAAATACATAAAACCTCGGTGATCAAGTATTGGATACGGTTGAATTTTGCGCTGTGCAGAACTTCCTTACATTGGATCATCACGATATACCTAATTCGGTTGCTATGTAGTACGGTAAGTCTTGTGATATTATAGCTACTAGGAGCTTTGATATTGCGATAAATCTAGATCTATAGTGGATGAACACTCCCGCTTTGTTATATAAATTCGTCAGCAAGATAACCTCCTCGTACGGTCCTTCAGACTACTACCTAGTAGAAGGGTGTTGTGTGGCGCGAACTTAAGAAGAACATTCTCTAACTGCACTAGATGAATGAACTAGATTGTTTAAATTTCATAATCCCTTTTTCTATTCCACATTGTCACTATTGTAACAATTTTCAGAATTTATTGAGAGCTTCACCAGCTTACCATGCTGATCTCTGATTTGGCATTTTCTCCCGTATTTAATGTCTTAGTCAAGTTGTTTTACCTGGCCCTCATTTCTAAGCATTCTGCAGATGAAGAAATTATCGCAATTTTTATATCACCATTTTCAAGCTTCAGTACAGGATTTGAGGGTGACAAAGACGTTCGTGCATTCGTAATCTCAACAATATCTTTGGAGAAATGAGTCATTCCTTGAACGCCTTCATTTCATGTCGGATCATACATCTCTTTAACCGGTATAGAGTTTCGAGAGCAATTGCGCCAATATTTGGGTTGTTGGTAATTTGATCAGACTGCACGTTGTCAGATAAGGGGATGGAATCATTAAGCGAGTTAAAGTGGGTCTATTAAGCTGCCATCCGACCAGTACAAAAATGACCTCCGAATACATATGAACGCTGATGAAAAACAATCAAATAGGTCCCCCACCCAGCACATGCCGCGTACGAACGAGATTTCCTATGACAGTACCAGTACTCCAATTATTTGCTGACTTCAACTTTCGTATCGACTTCAGCCTCCTCCGCACCGTAATCATTTACAGCCACCAATGTATTCTCCAAATACTCATCAAAGATATCATATGGAGTCCAGCATTTCTGAGAGATGATGGTATCTTTGAGATTCGTCGCCACCATATCCCTGGTAATCGTCTCAATGTTTCTTCTGGAGCCGTAAGGCATGTATCATGCATGCGAACTTTTCTGGCGTTGATCCTGGTTGCGTAACGAGTTGGATCATCGAAAAATGGCATTGCTGAGGCTGAGGGAATGCCAGGACTAAGGGTAAACATTGGCAGAAGTCTCAAGATGGTGTTGGGGGTGGTGAGTATGATGGCGGTGATGAAGGTGAGCGAAGAAGCAATGGCGCTACATCTTCGGCAACCCTCAAAGGCTCTTCCATGTCCAAATCTTCCTCGTCACTATACTCGGACTCCGATGCTTCCTCATCTTCGGAGATATTGTTGTGGTCCGATGAAGACATAACGAAATCGTTTTCTCGAATGAAGTCGGTGTTACGAACGGGATCTGTGTTGAGAATGGAATCGTTGTTGCGCATCAACTCGGAGATATCCATCAAATTGATACCCAAAGCATTTCCAAAAGCTCCTCCAAAGCTATGAAAATCATGCATTTGTTCTTCTGCCCTGCCTGTAATTCTCATTTGTATTCAAAACTTGATTGTCATTCGCAGCCTCAACTTCTGTTGTTTGTCTTTCAACATTTGATTGTTCAAGGGATATCTCAAGGGACAATTGTGGATCGAGACTGGGATTTTTGTTCGACATGACTGAAAGGAAGGCGCAGACGCTGGTGGATTATTGGTTTTTATTTTCAAGAGGTCTCAGCTTGCTGTTTAACTGGCAGCATAAGACCACCAGGGTTTCTGTAAAACTGATTAGCATAACTTGACGACGATATCGTTAGTGAGGAGTTTGCTCACCTTATGTTCACTGCACTTGTCGTCGAGTTGATAGATTGTGCCACTTCGAGGATGTAGAGTTTAAAACAGAAAATGAGGGGTTGTGCGAGACGAACCTGTTTATTCAGAGAATTCTCGCTTGATCATGGAGTGAATATTGAGAGGTGAATTGTCGTCCCCAAGTTAGTCTTGTGATATCCTGTTCCGAATTGGCGCAGTTGAATCTCTCTTATGATAGTTAAACAAGATCATTGCTGTAATTTTGTCTTTCAGAAAACAATACCAAAAGCAACACAATAAAAATGATTTTATGAATTGATACATGAGGTAGTCTGTGGTATGTCTTGAAAGGATTTGAACAATTTACAGCAGTGTCATTGATGATAATACCACAAATAAACTAGATTAACAATTTACATGAAATTCAAAAGTCAATAAACTGTGTGATTGGAGGAAAGAGTGATGAAGTGAAGTGAAGTTTGTGATTCACAATTTCCTATTCCGCCAGCTTATTAACTACATTGTGAAATATCCTAGAATGCAGTTCCATATCTGTGACTTCCTCCACCACCCAGTACCTTCCTCAAATTTCTTATGCATTCAAGATAGTTTTTGTAGAAACCACCATCCTCTTATTTCCATCATGTAGTATATTCTCACACCAACCACTCTTCTGAAAAAATCTTTCATGCCATCAGAACTCATGTGACTCAATGTATCCTTGCGACCATCGAAGTGGCTAAATTTCCGACACCTGTGTTTCAATGACTTCTCTGTTGCAGTCGCCAAACGAACGCTTATTGTGATCCCGTGGCGTTGCAGCCTTCTCTTGCGAGCGAGCAAAGCCTTGTGTACCCGACTGTTTTTCGAAAAGCGCGCCGCAAGCACTGAGACTGGTAGTAGTAGTGTTTCTCTGCATTCCTTAGAAGTTGAAGACTTAATTGGTGCCGGTGGGAGTGATATTCTGTCGGTTGTGATGAATGTTGAAGGCTGAACTCTTAAGCTTTCGTCGCACGAAGCTTCAATGGAACCTTGAGTTCGTATCTTTTCCTTTAACTTTTCTACGATGATACGTACTTCATCTTGCTCCTCGAAGAGCTCCACCTTGGTCGTATTGGTTCGATCCATTTTCGGTTTCGAGTTCAAATATAAGTCTGACTTGTGATTTGTAAGTTTCTTCGAGATGTCGTGGTAAAATGGGATTTTACGCTAGATTTGATCAATGAGATTTCTATTGAAGATTTTCACAAAAATTATTCTCGCTTCTTATATATCTATCATTAGTGGCTCTATGATTAGCGCAGTCGCCCAGAAAGGGCCAGTATCTCTAGTCAATGGCCAATCTAAAGCTAGTGAATGGTTCGGTTCTAGCCTGGACTACTTATCTTCACCGTAATATAATCTGTTTCAAATGCGAGAAAGATTTGTTCCATCGAGCTTCTAGGTTTGGTTTGTGGTTTTCATAATCTAGTTGGGTGTTTCCAAATGCGATCGGTTAATTGTGATAATTGATGGGACATTGAACAAACGTGAGCACACATATCTCAATTATTTTCTGTAAACTTATCACGGACTTCTCTCATTGTCACATATTGCATAATTCTTTGATGTGGTGGGTTGAAGATATATATTATGTGGACTGTCCTGAACTAAGAAATGCCTCGCTATGGATTGATCTACCCCAACGTCCCAAGAATAGCTTCTTTCAAACCTCGCTGTGCTATCTATTTTGCTGAAATGCTCGGCAATACTATCGTGATATTCCTTCTCAAATGATGTAGCTTCTACTAAGTTAAGAATGAGCACTCATCTCCCAGTCCTGTAAAAATAGAATCAACTCACCCTCTTCACTTGACCCTCTCCCGCTATTTCTCAATAGTATAGTGGATCCTGGGTATCATTAAGATACTTTCGCCTACAGCCAGGCTTCATTCTCGCCGGTCCACTGCCTTGCTCTCCCGTCTCTGGTGTTCCATCACACCATTCACAGTAACAATCTTCAAACATATGGGGACCTTGGCAAACAAGAAAACGACATCTGATCACCTCCGGACTCACTATCTCCTTTGGGATAGCAAAGTATCTGGCAGTATCAATTACAAGTAGCCACATGATGGATCTTCGCATATTCCTCCATGAAACTACACTTTCTCGATATTCGAACTCCGCATACTCTCTTGGGAGTATCATTTCAAGAACATAACCGAGTGAATTGGTCTTAGACTCAGGTTCTTTAGATATAGCCATATTCTCATCGGTAGTTGCGAAATTGGTTGAGGAAATGTTTCTCGTTTCGATCGTCATTACTGCTTGTTGATAAGACTAGTTTTCTATAATATGGATATATGAGACAATTAATGATGTGATTAAGGTGATTATGAAGGTATTTTTGAAAGCTATGCGATTGAGAATACTTCTGAAAGCTCTTTTAGGTTGGTATCAGAATTCAAATACTATTTGTACTGGCCTTTGAAAGAGCTAATGAGTACTAGTCACTGAGCTAAACTAGGTAAATGTAACTAAAAACTTAATCTTTCAATTACCTATGCCAAGATCCTCGTGACATCTTGACATCCAGCCCTATGTTTAACTCCTTCCCATTCATATCTGACCATCCATTTATGTTACTCTCAAATTTCAGACAATGGATACACATCTATACATTCAGGTAGCTTCAAACTCTTTCCATAGGCATGTACAAAGAACTTTTGACAGCATTAAAATCTCTGACTTTGATATTTAGTAATAATTAATGGCCAAACATTTATCCCTATCACAGATTGTTTCGAAAACTAGGATGTTCCCAAAGACAATTTTGATAAAACGAGTTATGAGACTGTCATGAAGAAGTTCCTCCAAGGTAGATTAGTTGGCATAATTCCAGTCTACTTTCTAACCATAGACAATCATTGACTTATTTTCAATTGACAAGGGTATCGATTCATCACTCAATGTCAGAATTCTCACAGCGAGAATTCTGCGATGCTTCTCGGGTATCAACTCAATCTATTCTTAATAAATATAATTATTGCTTTTTGCTCTTTCACCCTATCCTAAAAGCTAAGTCATTAAATTAAATTCAAATGGCAGGCACGATTATATGCCACTCGTAAATTAACTCAGGATTATGCGGATAGTGGAGAGAATCTCTTAGTCTAAGCTTCTAGGAAAGAAGATATAGACTTATAACAACGAGCATATTTCTTGAGTGTCATATCTTGCTCCGCAGTTCGAACCCATTTCGATTCTCGCAAAGTCGCCCACATATTTAGACCGCCTGCCAAACTTCCCGGCATAACAATATGCGGACGACGTGCTCTTTCAAATGGTCTGCAAGCAATCATTGATCGCCAAAGCCCCGGTTGAGCTGCAATAACAGCCCGAGCCGAAGACCCCGTCTTCTCAACTCCATTCAAGCCATGCATTGTGTTTGTGTCGTCGATCTCGACAAATTCCGAGTTGCATCCACAAGAGCACTCTTCTTTGCAAGTTTGATTTGGTGAAACCGCAGCTTCCTCCTCGAACATTGAGACAAAGCTATCCCCGAGATAGGAATCAAAATCGCTATCAGCATCCTCTTCATATGTGAGGACGCCCAAATCTTGGATCGATTCCGTCGCCATTCCTGCTGTATCCCATCCACATCTATCAGAATCTTTTTCTTCGTCAATGATTTCTCCCTGCAGAAGATTGCAACGCTTTGAGCCATCACCAGCTTTTGCTTCACGTGTGCCATGTTCTTGTGGTAAAGGTCTTGAAAACCAATCATCGCAGAATTCAAGTGGTTCGTCACTCCCCTCGACTGTACAGCCATCTTCCTCGTCTTCCTCAAACTTCCCAACTGCCTCATCAATGTCGGCATGGCTTGTATCGTTCTCATAGTTAGAGATTCCTAAGATTGCGGCTCTGCGAGCGGCTCTGAGCTTTTCTTGTTTTTTCTTCTTTTCTTCTGCTGCAATAGCTCTTGCGCCTTCGTGGGTATACTATTTGTTGCGAGACTAGTTAGCATGTGATCGCACATGATCCCAACTGGCTCCTTCAATTTTTCCTTGGCAAATTAACTTACTGGACATGGTTTCACTGGTTCGGGATATGACCAGGAATCGCGTTCTTCATCCGGATCCCAAAATGTCTAAGTTCATTTTCCAAACCTCCAACAAGGACTGCGCCATCGTAGTCTGTATTTTTGACAGTGCGCCATCCAATAGCGCGCAAGATTTGAGGTGAGAACATTTTAATGGTATATTTTTCTTGTGAGTGCGATTTGTTTCTGATTTGTCTGCGCCCGGGGTCTTGTAGAAAGTAAGTGAGAATGGATGGCTTTCTGGATTTTTTCGAGGGCGGGAAAGTAGCTGATATAGATAGAAACATATCGCACATTCAAGTTGATGATCTTGGTAACTTGGTAGGATACTGTGAGAACCGTAAAAACCGCAAAACCTGTAATCACATATTAATGTCCAGCTTTTAGTCTATCGAAATAAAAATAGTGAATTAAGGTCACTGCCGTACGTACGATATTATTAAGATCCATCTGCCGGAGTTCAAGTAAGCTAAGAAAAAATGGCAAAAAATGGCAACAATCACTATCAACAAGGAAGGAGCGGATAATAATATGAATCTTTCAAATTGCAGGCTATCTCAATAATCCTAAAAGTAACTAATATATTCAACCTCGCCTAAGACCCTAACTTCACCGTCCTATCGCTCTGTCTCTGTCATAATATTTCCCAATTCCAATCAAGTTGAAAATTGGTCTTTCTACTTCATCAAAGTTATTTAACTGGAATTCATCTCTAACCCCTGCCGTGAAAATTATTGCGCTAGATAAGGAAAGCCCTCTCTTCACATACTATCTTCCTTGCGTGCAGCCTAGATATAGCATCTAGATCCCTCTTCACGAATGACTGTCTGGCAGTGTCTTAAATTTGATGGAGTCCAACCCCAAGTTGTTGGTTCCTATGAAGTCAGATTGTCAGTACCACACAGGGTGACGAGGTTTCAAATGAAATGATGGGAATCAGCTATTATCATAATTTAAGGCGATTTAAAACCTGAATCAAGTATACGAAATCAAGAAACATGCAGACTTACCGAACTACGATAGAACAATCTTGTAGGATGAGCTTCATATTCGCTAGCCTTTACTGTCGTGAAGGACACTTGAATGTAAACCACGTTTTTTCCCATCAATGGGTGATCAATTTGAACCTCTTCTTCAACCTCCTCAAGCTCTGAACGAGAACTGTAGCACGAATCACTATCCCAAACATCGAAGCCACCAAGTTCAGGAGCGCCTTGAACCGAACCAATTCCCAAATCACAATCGTCCACTACAATAGGGAAATCGCCCTGCCAGTTATCAAGAGTAAGCTCGGTGACTGCTGTAGTTTGATTATTATCTTGGTCTTGATCCTTCGATTCTTCGATTTCAGGAATGATGTCGAGGAATGCATTTGTATATGAGTATTGGGCAGAGTAGGGTACTGCTCTAGGAATTCTGGATGTCATGTTTGTGCCCAGCTTTCTGTTCTTGGGAGAAATGATTTCTTCAGGAACGGTGACTACAGCAGCGATATCGTCATTCGACAATGTCTCAAATTTCAATGCGTAATCGTAAGAGTCCATGGTATCTTCGTCATCAGAGAAATCAATAGTCTGGAGTATTTAACATTAAAAGTGCAATCAAACAGTTGTGAATTATCCATACCTCGTAGTCTCTGAAATCAGATCCTTCTCCTATAGCTGTCTCACTATTAAATTTAGATGTATCAACAAAGTGTCTAGTAGGTGGAGCATCGATGCATTGCTCTTCGAATTCGTCGTTGGCTTCGTCGGCCCAGGATTTGGTCATTGGTGGTAATAAGTTCGCTAAAGACATAGGTGGAACGATTTTCTGTTGTGAGTTAGGGGTAGCCGCTGTATATATCTTAATAGATATAGTGGTAGATGTCTCAATATAGATCGTTGATCTACTAATTAGTTGCAGGTGTGTTAAGTTGTTGTAAACAGTTGTTCGAAAGTAGAGAGTCAGTGGCCTGATATTCGTTTTTTAAAGTGTTTGAGTTCAAAAAACATTGCTTTGTAGTGAATTGGTTTATTTATATTATAATTTGATTCACGTAATGAGAAATTTAAATATGTGTGAGTAGATGAAGGGTGCCACACTAATTCCAATCATTGGTACTAGCCGTATTTCGAAAACCCTTTTGCTTTACTGGTCAGGTAGCTGTATATCTAAAACTTATTGGTAAGCAATTTATGTTAGGAGATCTTATGGAGCAAATAAGCACAAGGATGTAACGGTTTTGTGTAGCAGTAGTCATGACGCAGTATGAAGGAGTGTTTTACACATCAAAATGTCGAGATTCACAAATCGACGATAGAAGGTATACGGCTATGGATGCAACAATCCTCCAAGCTCACACGGTGCCGCCTTTTTGTATCACAGAAGATCCTCACTGAGGCCCAGAAGCAAATGGAGAAATTATGAACTGAATTCCGCTATCTAGTCAGGGTGACCTGAGATGCGTCGTAGAATGTGATAAAATCACTGGTACTCATACTCTGCATCATAACCGTGCATCCGTTTTTTACCATTTATACATCCGATATAATTATCAAAGCATCTTTATCGGCGGTCTTGTGAATTCCCCCATACTCTCTCCTCCCCGTCTTTCCTATGGGAACATGACTTCTCTCAAAGGAGACTGTTTCTTGACCCACAACGGAGTCTGGCTCTTGACTCTCCACTCTTCACCACCTGGCCACAATAATGCTTCTCGTAACTTAGAATCCTCGACCTATTACTCTGTCAATTCATTTTGTGTGGCTATTTTTAGTCGTAAGACGCTCACCTTTTCTTTTGCTTCTTTTTCTATTGCCATATTCAATTTCTTGTAGAACACACGATCGAAATGGCTCATTCCGCAATCGGCTACTCCACTGATATTAATCCGAAGATTTGTCGTATCCTTGAGGGAATCGTCGAGGTTACTTTTGTCGCTCGCACCATCTGGCAATTTGCCGACGGCAACCTATAATGTCTTCGATCAGTATTTTTGCTTCATCAAGATGGCAACGTCTTTTCAAGCTGTCATGGGAACTGGCGAAGGAGAGATGAAAAGTTCGAGTAACTTACTGCCTCGTTGGTATCATCTACCCTATCGGAAGTCATCTTTGCTCTTTTATTTTCGCTGTTGGTCATTGTGTATCGATGAATGTAGAATACTTTTCAAAATGATTTTGCAGTGGAAATCTTACTGTATTTAAGAAGATGGGAAACGAAAAGCTAACACACGTCACGTTTTGGTTTGGGGTACTAAAACTTGGCTAGATACTACTAGCATCACCAATAATTCGGTTATTGGAGCTCTCAAGGGGCTAGACAATGTTAGTGGAAAAAACTTTTCGCTTATTGACCTAGTATACGTGCCAAAAAGTCTAGTATCGTACCTATGGAATTGATCTTGTATGGAGTCAATGAAAGACATGACATCTTATTGAACTCTCATCGCTATTTGGCTGGTGGACCAGGCGCTACTTGCCCCTACCATAACCCAAAAGCTCTAGGGAACCACGTGGGTCTCAGGTCTAGCTCGATCTCAAATGGCTCGCTCACAAAAGTAATTGTTCAACATCTCAAAACAAGTTCATCCAAATCTATGAGACACACTTAACCGATACTTCTGAACATCAATTGCATACCATTGTAGACTAATAGAATCTATCAAAGGCAGCAATAGATGTTAACATGAGAATGAACAGACCCTCGAAATCGATGAAACGACAAACTACTGCCCAATTTCTGCAGCGATGAATTGTGATCGAACCTTTGAAGATTTGGGAGTTTAAGAAAGCCATTAGATAGAAATGTATATAACAAACACAGGTAGAGGAAAGTTAATGTACCTCTACCTCTGTCATAGGATATCAATTTCCATCTGCACACACGTCAAGCACAGCACAATCATGAACTAGCCAAAAGATTGCACGAAGCTTCGAATGCTTCTCAAATTGTGCAATGTTTACCACCTATGCCAACCTATGCCTTACTGTATTCCAACCACATCACCAGTCTTCCTACCTGTAACCCTCGATGTTTATCTCCAACCAAGTCGCCGAATCCGCCTCGTCCGTAAAAATCCCCCAGTGGGTGTCAATCACTACCCTCGCCCCCACACTCGGGTACCTTACTGTCCTCCGCAACAAGAGTCCAACATTTTCTCAGAGGGCTTGGTTGCGCACAAGGAAAGTTTCCATATTTTTCATCCGCTTCCGTTTGCTCCACTTCTGTGCTCTTGATGCCATACACGATCAACAGAACCTCCTCTTTCGTTTCTCTCGTTTCTTTATTCTCTCCTGTCTAGCTTTGTCGCGGTCTGATAGTTTTACGATTTCTGAAGTCGACTCGTCATTCTCAACCGTAGTGGATTCATCTTCCAGCAGCGGCATTGCTGTTCTGGTTTCAAAGTGATATCTCTTAGGTGTGAACGGGTTTGAATAGACAAGGTTCTGTGGAGAGAAAGTTTTAGCATATTTTCTTTTTGAATGGTGAGTGAGGTGAGTTGTAACTGAAGATTAATCTTATACTAGATCAGATAGGTGAAGTAGGTGAAAGTCCAACAAACTCCTGGAATCCAATCTTTGTATAAAAATATCAAGTTCTGTAAATCAAGCCGGTAGATTTGTGAAAGTTTTTTGTTTCTTCACAAGAGTTTGCTTTGTATTTATACCCGGGTCTTTGACATCCGAGGCTATTGTGCTGCAGCTCAAATTCACTACTCCTGTCACATAACGTTTTTTCCCAATCTTTCGGCCTTTTTTCTGATCTAACTAAGTCCTCGAACCACTCTTACATAGTGAATACCGTTCCTGGTAATTGAAGAACAATGATTTGGTGAACTCTGCGGCACCAGTTGCTGTATACATTCACAAAGAACTTTCCAATGCTGACCTGAATCAACCTAGCTACAGTACAGAGTTGTATTGTCTTGTATGACTTGATTCATTCATGGCTTTATTAGTAATTCCATGATGCTCTGAGATCACAGAATTACTACAAGAACATAATTCGCTGTATCCAGCTAGTATACTGGAAGATTGTCACTTAGGCAAGCCTCGAAGAAGATTATAAAGTGTAAATACTTATTCATTTGTACAATGGTAATAGGTAATAAATAGTATTAAAGAAGATAGATACAGCGCTTCTGTTGATCAATTCATCACGATTCCGCCATCAATGACCAACGTTTGTCCTGTCATATAATCGCTATCTGGACTTGCCAGATAACTAACACATTTGGCCACATCTTCTGGAACGCTCGTTCTTCCAAGTAAGATGAGATCATCAGTATACTTCTTGATCGTTTCTCCTTTCTTAACACCTTTCGTCTTTCCCAGCTCCTCATCAATCAAATCCCACATGGCAGTGCCAACTATGCCCGGTGCGTAGCCATTGACAGTGATCTTATGTTCTGCCATTTCCATAGCAAAGGCTTGAGTGAAACCTCTCACGGCAAACTTTGAAGCACTGTAGTGGGAAAGCATGGCGAATGGCTTGAAAGCAACGATACTAGGAAATCACTCAATAAATAATCAAGTGATTTAATTTCGATTTGCTTTGGACATACCTGGCAGCACCAATTATCTTTCCACCTCCGTCTTGCTTGATCATTTGCTTCGCAGCAGCGCTGTAACAATTGAAAATTCCAAAGACATTGACGTCAAACATCTTCCGAACTTCGTCCTCAGATAGTGATAAGAGCGACTTAACTTGTGCAATCCCGGCATTTGCAATCATGACATTCAAGTTTCCTAGATTCTTAACTGAAGCCTCAATGAGACCTTCGACCTCAGACAGTTTAGACACATCTGCGGCGTGGCCATAGGATGCTCGGCCCATGCCCTGGATTTCTTCCACCACCTTAAAACCTTTTAGTATTCTGCAGACCATAGAGTGTTTTCCGAATACCAACCTCGTCGATACCAGCTTGATTTGCAGGAATATCATTTATACAAACGTCAAAGCCATCCTCTGCCAGCCTAATTGCGATGGCCTTGCCACTATTTACTCGTTAACTGGTTGAGACTTTCCGAAGAAGCTTCTGAGACCTCACATTCCCCTTGCAGATCCCGTAACAATGACCGTTCTCTTTCCATAATCTCTGGTAACTGCAGTGCTGCTTGCCATTTTAACTTTAAGCTGTGATCTGAAGCGAGTTCTGGGGATTGTATAAACAGTGGATGTGCTTCGCTGAAAAGGTTGGAGGAAGGACTTTATGATCTGAAGTTCTAGCAGGAGCCATAAGTAACAGTGCGGGGGACCGCCGGTAGTACAATAACATCATGGATTCATTCCGTACGCCCATGAAATGATTCTGCCAAACGTAGAGAGAGGGGTAGATAAGATTCGCGGGGTCAATTATCTACCCCACACAAGTCCCATGTTGCAGTGTAGCTTCCTATTGGTCACCAGCTATAGCGCTATGCCTGTGCGTAGTATATCTCGGATCACTCTGTCAAAAATGCGAGTACTAATCATTCCTTGGAAGAACATAGGCCGCCGGTGAGCTCGAAAATTGGTAATTTATGACGATAACATAACAATATCCATTCTATTGTGGAGATGCTTCGTTCCCAGAATTAGAGAAAGCCCTCACATGATTACCTAGGTACACAGCTAGCAGATCTATTCATGCTTCCTTTGCATACCCCTACCAAGAAAACGAGAGTCACACATTGTTCTACAACTCATTCATGTCGCCAAAGTCGTTACACCGTCACCTCGAGGCTCTCAACTCCATTCATTGCACTCCCCAAGTTCCAATTTACTCTCCATCTATGGTGCCAACGATACTTAAAAATCTGACTTTTCTTCCGGGGCCCAGATTCGATATCGAAGTTATGAATCTTGTTTCAGATGGCAATATCTTGTGTTTCCTCTCACGGCAGGGTTGAGATAATATCACCATCCATCCTTTCTTGACCAATCTTACATTTTTCTTACCTTGTACTATCATGACTGCACAGCTTTAGCAACTTCAAGCAATATACATCCACTAACCGACAAGGCTTCCAGAAGCCTAACTGAAGACTGCTGTGAAGGCCGATTCATACACGAGCAAACAAACACCAATGACCTGATATCAGCTGAGCCTTCAATATATCCAGAGGGCGGAGCAAAGATGCCAAGATCTCACACGATCCGAGAACCCGTCATTTACTCCGAGATACCGTCGAAACCCCAGATGAATCAAATCAGTGATAAAGAAGAATGAGTGAATGGACAGCTAAAAAGCCCTACGACGTTCCTATGAATACCTCGCGCAAGACTTCTCACATCAAATAGTTGAAAGAGGATCTTTCCAGCAATTGGGCCATGGTCACCAGAGAGCTGGCGAGCCACCTATTCTCAGCCTTTGAGCGAGAATTTGATTCGAAAATAACGAGAATAAAATACGATGAGAGGTAAAAATATTAATTCAACAATAATCATTAGGTATTGAATAAAATGTCGTTGTCGTTTTGTCGTATATATACTGTCGAACTCTTTCTCTTGCCCTCGTCTCTAAAAGTCTACACTGGTCAGCTTGAATGTTTCTCTATTTAAAGAGAACTTCACAGTGGATATCGCAGGAAAGTCTGATATTTTCTCAGGCAGTCTCGCAGTACCTACAGCTGACATATATAGATATTCAAACAACATCAAACTGCCTTGAAGAATCTCACGGAACGATCCTTCCGAGAAAAAGCAAACCCAAACCTAACAATAGATAGCTTACCCCCAAGCAAGCCTCCCCAGATCAACCACTCACACCCCACCGGAAGAAATAAACCCCATCCACAAAAGCCTCCAAAATTACAAGGCTCTCCAAAGATCAATCAATATCAGCCGACATCCACGCCACACCTCATGAAGTTTCATCTGATCGGAAGCAATCCTATTGGAGCTCACCCCCAACACGAACAGGAACACCCATGAAACATCCCCAGCCCTGTTTCAACCCACCCAAGAACCCCGGATCCCCTTCCGCAAGAGGCTACCAACCACACTCTGGGGATCCTAAACCATGGAAGCTAAGTCGACACTATCGAGAGGCCATCAATACCATTGTGCAACCCTTTTTTCCCTTATGGGAAGTTCTCGCAGCCGTACTGCTGACCCGGTCGGTACTGGTCTTTTCGTTGCACGTCTGTAATTTAGCTCCATCTATTTGTGTACTAGTCTCGCTATTCATTCGCTCAAAGGCGGGAAGATTGATCCAATTCTCACCCCTCTTGCACGTGCATGTTTGGTAAAATATACTATATTATTTCTTCTACATTTTCTGCATCTACAACTTGGCAGCTGAGTCATCGGAATCGAGAAGATTTATAAATGCGGCATACACTTCTTCAGTAAGGTCACTGGCTTGTAGACTTCTACCCTTTTTGGCAAAGGCCAGCCTCGAGCATTCCTATATTAAATTAGTATTTGCAAGTGGGGACTATTTCTGGGAATTCTTACTCTTGTGATACTACTGCCTCCAAAAGCCGCCAATGCTAATGATTCAATGTCATCAATGTCTCCCTCATGCTCCCATAATCTATCCAAATACGCCTTTCTCCACCCCAAGAACGTTGCCAGGCTACCAGTCAACGTATCACCTTGTCCACCACTTCTCTTCAGCCCTCCTTCAATATCACTCACATACGTCTTCTCCCCATTAGAAATATAATCCCGCGACCCCTTCTGTATAACCGTAACCCCTCCAAACGCCCTCGCCAATTTCTCCGCTCCCTCCGCCCCATCCAACCCTTCAACATCAATCCCCTTACTCTTACACAGTCTCCCAAACTCCACAACATTCGGCGTCAATATACACTCCTTATACCCTTGCACCAATTCCGGTTTCGTCTGCACCAGCTGCAATCCATCCGCATCCAACACAAACGGCATATTCTTCTCCCTCGCCGCCTCAAGAACCTTCGCACACGTTTCCTGCATCAATTTATCTCGTCCCAATCCCGGTCCCACAACTATCACATGCAATCGCGGGAGCATATCAATAACACTCTGCGCGATCGAGCTCGCCGATTCCGTCATCTTCGCATGCGAAGATTGTCGCATCAGCGGGTGAACCATGAGATTCGGAGAGTACGTCTTGATGACTTGTGCTGCGCCAGGTTCGCAGATGACATGGCTCTATACATTTCAATATTAGTTAAATCGCTATCGAGGTGAGAGATGGTAGGGAAACTCGTACCATGTCTGCGCCGAGTCTTGCACTCGCCATTGCGGAAAAATATGGCGCGCCGGTGTAGTCCTCACTGCCTCCAATAACAGCTATCCTACCCATTTGTCCTTACATGTGTCAACTGATTGTATATTTACGCAATAATTAAAGATGTAGGTACCTTTGTGAAATTTGCTGAGCATTGGTGGCACAATCTTTTTGACTTTCGCCAGAAGGTCAAAAGTCGCTTTCGACATGACTTGTATATCTTCTGACATTTGAATTTTGAGAAACAGTTACAGATTGTTCGCAAGTAGGTTGATTAAAATGTATTGTCGTTGCGAATATTGAGATTGAACAAGGTGGTGAAAAGACCGTTGATGAATGAAGGAGGGGGTGGAATGCTCCCTCTCTCTCTATTTCACAATGACGTAGGTCATCAATTATCTCCTTATCGCCAAAATTTCCACAATTTTCGGCTTCACTTGCACGCCGAATTGTAACCTCATCAATAGCAACGCCACCTAATATCATACCACTCCATTACCTCTTCATATTATTAGATCTAATTAACACAGGTGGGAATTCTCAAGCTGGTACCTCGTATTACAAGATGCAATCTCATCTGTTTACATTGCTACGATTCAGTTGGGTCAGGATCACACGATTTAGGTATGTACTTGAGCACAAAATCTTACGATGGGAGGCCATTTCATTTCACTTCTGCATCCGGTGTTAAAAACCCATATTCGAGCTTAGTACATAATCATTTTCACACGGGACTCGATTCCGGCTGCTTATTAAGTACGATTGCAAGCAATTTGAAGTTTTTAGATGATAAAGCAAGTGTATCTTGTAATTTTTCATCTCGCCTCGAAGATCATAAATTTCCCGTCAACATTTCAATGAGAAAATCAATGACTACTAATATCACCGCTTATTCCTATGATAACGCCCGCATTATTCGACTCCTAATAGTCCATTCCCATCAATTCTGTCTCTAGGCGCGAAACACCACGCATTCATTATCTGAAGCTTTGAGGGACCAATGTTCTATTCAGGAGCTTTCAGATATAGCAGCATAATTAGATCAATATCTAAGACTTGAAGACTTGACCGAGATCCTGACCATCGTTATAGAAACCAACACCGTCCATCTGCGCTAACATGGTACATGCGGGTTTGATAAGAGTGTTAGAAACTTTCTTGCTGCCAGATCTTGAACCGTCCATTGTACCTCCTCGCCAAGCTCGAGTGTCATATTCTGTTCAAGAAGTTTGTCCATCGCCACAGATGTAATGGAAACTTCTTGCCAATTCGTCTCGACGTTGAGATCTCTTTTCTCCTCTTGGAAAACATACACCAAGATTCCTTGATCTTTAACCTGCAATTCGTGACCACGAGATTTATCCACCTCTGTGATATTCAGTTTAGAGTTTCCATCAGGACTGATATAACTTCTAGTCTTGCGAATCTTAAGATGATAGACAATGAAATGGTCCATTATATGCTTCGGAAGTTTAAGGGCGTGATTTGGTTTCTCGTTTCCAGGACTAGAACATATAAGTCAGTTCGAGTTCCTACTCGATTGGTATTTCAAACTCACGGAATGTAGAGGGTTCGTTGTATCTCTGTAGCTAGCTCGTCATAACCAGGCCAGTTACTTCGGATATCTTCTTCGTCTTCAATTCCCTCGACATTAAGCTGCAGATCCCAGTGACGCATTGTACCATGGACATACGTTCCGCCGCATCTTTTCAACACCACAATGTAGGTTTCGAAGGTCTCTGCATCGATCTCAATGGTAAATAATTTGTCAGTACGTAATTCTAGGCATGTGAACTCATAGTAACTTTCCACTCGGAACACTTCTCGGACCAGAGACGAACACCTTCATTGTTTTTGAGGTTAAAGAGGAAGGTGGTATCGGCTTCCAACGCTGTTAGGATATTGGTGAACGCAACTTCAGGGCCATCTCCCTCCCTAAGTTTGGCGCCGATCGGGGGTACAGATGTGGAATAATAAAGTCCTCATCATATGGTTTGTTCTGTTCCTCTTTCGAAACAAATCTTCACCGGGAGATTACCCAGTAAGATTCTACCAAAGTCTATGTGCACCTTGACCTCGCCGCGAAAGCCTCTTACTGGCGACATCAATCACTAAACATTAATTCGAAGTTTTTCAGGAATGACTCCTGCGGCATTGGCACAATGGCCGGCTTTTGTCACTTCTTTTTTGATTGATGCCTTTTGACCCATGGTCTTGTGGAAAACTCGAGTACGAGTCTCATCCTCTTTTTGACGGCGAGGCCTGCGGCAATTGATTTTTGCGACGAGCTTTTGACTCTGAGGAGCCCTCGCGTTGGGGAGAGGGTAATATTGGCCAATTGTTAGGAGACATCAAAGTAGGCTTCGATCCTGGCAGTTCGGGATATGCCATTGAGTTCAAGAACTCATTACTAGGATTCGATGTTGAGCCTCTCATCGAAGCAGGTGCCAAATTCATCAAGCTCTCAAGCTCTTCCGACCGGAAGCTGTGGCAATGCCAGCGACCTCAGCGATGATGATAGGGCTGGTGGTTCTAAGGCCGTTAAACTGTTGAGCGCCTAAAGCATCAGAGCCGTCTGCCGTATCAAATATCCTCAAATTAGGGGATCTAGTTGGACTTGAGCTAATATCAACAAGCGTATTCTCCGTAGCTTTGTGTCTCAATGCGTTCCAATCAAAATTCGCCAATTCCGCATCAATTGCAGAATCAAGAAGACACGACTGCGTAGTACTAGGCTCGGTTGTAACTCTATCCGTTAAATGAATGAAGCTCCCCTATGCATATATTAGCAGGAAATTTGGCTCTGGCACATCAAACCTCACGTACCACTTAGCAGGTTTCTCTCTAACTCTGAGGGAATACCTCTATATTTTGCCGGAGGAGGAGGAACACTGAGGTTGGCTGTTGTCTCTTGATGAATCGTATGGTTCCAAGCTTTCGGCGTTAGGCTTCTCATATGCTACGTATGAGTCCGATTCCGAGGCCATTGCCAAGCGAGCTAAAGAATTCAGGCTTGTGTCCATAGTGCCCCTCCAGTCTAGAATATCCAATCCCTTCGAAGCATCGGTAGTAGTAGTGGCATTTGCTACCCAGCCCTCAATATCAACGCATGTTGAACTGATATCTTCATTGCTTGATTTGACATCTTCCTTTTCTCGTCTCTCAATCTCCTTCTTGTATCCACCAGGAAAGTATTTCACGGGATCATTTTCTGGACTTCCTCGAGACTTCCAAACAAATCCAGCCCATGGCTTTGTTGCAGAGATTTGTGTACCTAGACTTGGAACTGCAGGAGTGTACTTGCCAATCTTCATCGGAAATAAATGTTACTTTGGTCGTGCTCCATGCACAAGCTCTAACTGTAAATTTTTGTCAATAGAAATCCGGGAGGATGCTCTTGTTCAAAAAGAGTAGTTTCAAGGTATTTCTTCTTGATCTCTGAAAACGCTTTGATGATAAACTTGCACGGTTCTACTTCTTCTGTATAGAAAATATGATACTGCGAGGCATATGTCGACTTCGCATGTGGTCAGCTTCAGGACAGTGAACGAGAAGGAATATCTTAAGATTCCACTCACACTATACTTCGCGATATTGTTGAGTTTATTGACAACTACATCAACACTGCCACGCTTGTCTGAACCAATATAAACCTTCGATTGGCTAGGTGACTTCACAATCTTGCTGTCTGTTATTGTCTGCAACTCCAGGACTATGGCTAGCTTCAAGAACTCGTCAATTAACTCTTCTCCATGATAGATCCAGATGTCGCGATAACTATACGTCTTGATAGTATCTGGATAAAATGTATCATCTGAAGCTGGATTGGGTGAGCGTGTGTGTGTTGAGACGGTTCGTACTCATCCACTTTCACGATTAAATCGCTGTGAAACTAACAGTATCTGAGCAATTATTACGAGCACATCGTGTTGGAATTGTATACCTCAGCTGACCATTCGCTACATCCATCTGCTTCTTCATGTTCATCATCGGAATCTCGATCACCACCTTCTTGTACAACTATCGCTTTCGTGATCTGATTCATCTCTCTTCTAAAAGGGTAGGAGGTGTCTTTCTGAAAAAAGCTTGAAATAATGATCCTGATCGAGCCATTGAATATAGCCGTCCTAGTATTCTGTCAGTGACAATTTTTTGTTAACTGCCAGTGGCCATAGTGTATTGAAGTAAGAAAGCATGTAGTGTCTCTTAAAAAAATCATCTGCGCTGAGTCTATAGATGGAAAGATACTCTAACGGCCATATTTCAAATTCGTCTCGAGAAGTCGTTGCTGCATTTAAAACGGACTTTTGAACACACGGCAACGTAAACGGCGCAGTCAAGTATTTCATATGAATTAAGAAGGACTACTTACAGCGCGCATGCGATCTCTCTTCTCTGCGAAACGTTTCTCAACTTCCATAACTCCTGCTGGCTTGAAGTGCCATTCCGAAGCAATAATGACTGTTGAGATTCCACTTCTCGCAAGAGTTCCTAGATCATTGGTATCGGACGATGCATCAGTAGCAGATGAGCTGCGCGCAGCGCTTCCTCTAATATCTGCGCTCATCGTTGAAAAATTTGCTGTTGACGGTGGACCTTAGTTTGTTGTCAGCGGTATATCAAAAGTCCAGTAAATCTTCGAAAGAAGATAAGAGAAGAGTAAAACTGAATGTGATATCAGATCCACATGACTATGGGTTTGAAGATGAAATCAATCTAGGTGGCATTATGTTTTTTGTGTGCGTGGGGCAATATTGCGATGGGGAAAAGAAAGAGATTTGGCGAGGTGAATAAGGAAGGAGGGAAAACAACAGACGATATCAAGAACTGAGCTAGTGACAAAAGGCGACCTCGTCAAAGGTACTGAAGCAAAAGATAATACCGCAGTGTATATGTTAGACGAACGATTGTAATGGTTTAGGTTCATGTAATTTTACATGAACTCGATTGTTTGTTTGTTAGTGACGCAGGTACCTGCATGCGCCAGTGGCTGCACGACTTCACACTTCTGTTGCAGGCCGCACAGTATCAAAATAAGACGAAACGTCCAGCGAAGATAGAAGAAAGGGCAAAATGATACTTTACTTCTGCATCAATTTATGATTTAAGATCAAAGCAGCTATTGCACAATAGAATCATTAAAAAAAAATCTAGTTCATTCAATCATCACCAATAACCCTGGCAAATCTAACTCTGATGAACTTCCCAGTGTTTGCCCCAATGTACAATTCCTAGATATGATGATCTTATGTAGACACAAGAAAGAAACTCCTTAACACCCTGGGCTTCGTGGCCCAAGTTCAACCCGAGATACCCTAACCACAGTGTCTAATGTACAAAAGCGCAGAAAATACAACTGTATCCTGTTTCTCCAATGCAATGCAGTCATATCGCTGGATCGCTCGAAGAGAATATCGTAATTGAATGTAATTCGAAAGTAGATGATTGATGTGTGTGTGTGTGTGTGTGTGTGTGTCGAGATTGCGGAATTCAAGTAGTAAGAAAGTTTTTTGAGTCAGTGAGATTTTTACGAGTCCAAGACTTGAAATTGGTAGTCGGGCTTCTTATTCAGCCTCTTTGACGTATTTTTTGACATTGAGAGCCCATCTCAGCTCCCCAAGAACCTTCTGCGTCTCTAACATAATCTCCTCGTTGGCCTTCTGCTGCTTGCTTGCATTTTCTTTGATATCCGCGAGAGATTTCTCCTTCTCTGCCTTGTACTCCTCATATTTCCGATCAACTTCATCCTTTTCTCTCTGCAGTGTTTTGAGTTGCTCGGCTTGCTGTTCTGCGAGACGTTTGAGCATGGTAATCTTCTCGTCGTCGGCTATCCTCTCCTTCACAATGATCTTGATCTCCTTCTCTAGCTTCGCTACCGTTCGATTGGCGGACTTTTCCTGGTCCTTCCAATGGTTGGTCATGACATTGTTTCTTCCCTCGTATAGCTCCGCCCGGCTCTGAGCTTCTTCAACCTTTTCCTTGCATTCCATTTCCAATTTCTGCATCTCAGTCTTCCAAAATAGCTCGCCCTCAGTAGCTTTCTCGGCCTTGTGTCGTTCCGCATCAATTTTTTCTTTGGCATCCGCGAGTTGTCGCTCTCTCCTCTTTAGAACCGTTGAATTCATGGCAGCATCGCGCAATTTCCGCTCCCATTCTTCGTTTTCTTGGGCGAATCTGCTCTCAGCCAGTCTTGCTTGATCGAGAGCCTCTTCCGCTCTCAGCCTCTCAATCTTGACATCACGCTTCAACATGTCATTTTCCTTTGTAAGTCGCTCAATCACTCTCCCCGACTTCCCCAAGTTTGCCTTCCCAATAGCGGAGTTAAAGTCTTCGCCATCATTGGGGGCGATATCTTCCACAACATGTACGTTGCTACTCGAGTACTTGGTAGGGCCAAATTCGGTAGATATACTTCTGACAACTCCTCTGGGCATTCCTATCGCGGACGGATTCTGTCGACTGAGTGGTGGTTTCGAACCATTAATGGAATTATAGCTAGCTTTTCTTGGGGTGATAGGTGTAGTGGACTCGTTTTGTGATTGAGGTTGCGCAGTCGGGCTGTCGTCGTAAGAATTTGGACCAAGCCGAGAGTCATCAGAGGGTACGGATCTAATTGTGCCCGTCGAGGATTTGAGTAAGGACGGATCCGTGTTTATGTGAGGCATGTTCATTGTGTTGGAAGAGAGTATCGTGAGAGGGGCATGTGTAGGACTTTGCATCCTGTTGAAATGGGGGGACTCGAAATCTGGTAAGAATACTGGTTAGTCATTGTTCAAGAGCGCAATGAGTACCAGACTTTTGTTTACTAAGTCGAGGGAGTTTTGCATAAAGGGACAAACAATTATTCAATGGACCACGAATTTTTTAATCTTTTCCCGGTGTTTCCAATTCTTCATTGACGTCTATTAAAATTTAAGGTGCAGATCATGATATCTTGCGATAAGAATTCTGGATCATAATTAGAAATGCAAGCTTACCTGTACTTGGAGATTCCGTATGAGTATGGGTATCTCGTCTCGAAGATGTATCCACTGGAGGAGTTTCTGCTCGAGTTGGCATTGCTCATTTCTCCTTTTCGCAATCTAGGATAATCCTATCAAGCCATACACGACTTCCATGAGTTGTTTGAAGTTATGTGCAATCTTTTATGCGTGTAACGAAAACGATGCTACGAGTGACCGTCTCTCCTTGCGTGGGGTAATAGATATAACGAATGATGGGAAGAATGACCTTTTTACCTAAGAGGGCTGGCTGGGGTTTTAATCATAAAAGATATCGACAATGCAATGCAGTCCGTCGCCTTTTCCGCGTTACTGTAGTTATGTTTTTCTCAGTCGATGCTTTTCGAGTTTCCCAGATAAAGGATGGACAGCCCGTATGGCAATTAAATCTCATCCAATGAATCTGGCTGACCGAGCAACGAATCATGTAAGCCCCAGTAATGAAAGGACTAAAAACGGGCTAACCTGTCAATGCCGGTAGGGGGTGTATGGTGGGCAAGACCTAGTAGGTAGGTATGCTTTGGTATGGTCCCATATGCTCGCCATGTTCCTTTTGTTACCTTTGCAGGACAGTACTGGTATGTACGTCAGAGAACATGAAGTGGAGCGAATTAAGGTACTTCGATGTCGGGATATCCACGATGTACTTATATCCAGCATCTACAAATGCACTTGCGGCTAAATTTACCCACGGCGGCTTACCTACTCTGTAGATTTGAATGCTGGCTCTACACTTCGTACAACACTCACCGGTAGGTACCTGGTATATCTGTCAGTGCCGGTCAGTGCCAGTGTCAGTGTCAGTGTCAGTGTCAGTCATCCAAAGGTTGGTAACTCATATTCGCCGTGGGTGATTTTGATGTCTTAAACTCTTAATCACATTTTTGACGGGTAAACTAGGTAAGGTCAGGTGAAATTGGGATGTCCCCTATTATTCCATCCGTTTGTCCTGGTGTCCGGAGTACGAAGCAGACTACATATGCTCTACCAATGAATAAATCCTTACCTAATCAAAGCATGAAGAAATAGAGGTTGGTTTTGAATAGATCTATCATAGATTATCACAAATTACAAGAAGCTTCCTTTCCATTGATTTCATAAGTTCGGCGTTTTGAATTTTGGCTCTTTTAGAATTTAGTGCATTGGTTCTAATCAGCGTTCTCGCGTTCTAAGCCTCAATAGCCTCTTACCTCTCTGCCTCTGCCTAAGTCGATAGTCAATAGTTTTCCACTAACAAACCTTTTACAGGCAACCATCAACATTTTCAATACCCGTGGACTACCCAGGATACTCAAAATACCCTTCTTGGAGTCTTGAATACCTAAGACCATCCATCCTTTTTCTTCTACTTTTTTCTTTTCTTTCCTTTCCTTTCCTTCCCTTCCCTTCCCTTCCCTTCCTTTCCCTTTCCCTTTCCCTTTCCTTTCCTTCTCTTTCCTTTTCCCTGTCTTTTTCCTTTCTTTTATCCAGTCGATCTTGATTAGGGGTCGTAAAATCTATCTTCAACAAAATCAATTGAAATTGAAGCGTTTCCAAAGAGAGAGCTTCAACATACATCCATTGAGCACTACCCAGAACCTCTTGATGCACCCCAGATCCTACTTGTGATGCAGGTACTCTAGTTCGTATATGATATCATCATTCTGAGTGAAGATTGTGCGAATTGAGGTCAGCAGAATTGTCTAAAAGTCCTGGTGGAGCATGAAGGCTGGCACAAGTTAAAATGCCGGTGCTCTTGGGCATCGGATATTTTCGGATATTTTATTCCTTCGCCAAACCGGATATTTAACAGCTTCACCATTGGTCCAGCGGCCAAACAATGGAATACCTCCACTGGACTAGAAGATCTCTTCCAGAGGTTTACTCTACAGTATCCATTGCCGGGCTGTCGTGTTGAAATTTTCAGCAGATTGCAGTGCTGTTCATACCCTATATTCGTTATGTTGGGGATTGTAATCAATCTCCCTGCTTTGCTGCCCGGATATTTTGTCACTTGGTAAGTTCTGTATCATCGGACAATTTCTCAATATGATATATACAAGCCAGTTCATGTTCAGTGAGGAATATCTCAATATCTTGCTATCGGTCTTTCATTTTGTCTATTTTCATTGACACAATTTGGCCTTGGGTTCTCACGGTATTTGCGTGGTACGATGAGTTCAGGATATACAAGCGAGGCAAGTAGAATCTATCTTTCGTCTGGCGTTCTTTGCCTATAACAAGGACCTCATCCTCTCCTCCATTCGAGGAAGAGTGGCTAGAAGGAATTCAACTGACAGTTCACTTCAAGGGTGAGAAAACCGATCAACAAGATGACCCCTTGCAAAAGTTACCCATATATCGTCCCGAAGGTCGTTCACTTGGAGTCCTCTTTGAAGACATCACGGTTCATGGTGTTTCTGCTGGCGAAAAACGTGCTCAGGATCTCTTACGAATTTTTCAAGATGTTTTCGTCAACTGGCCAACAGCTTTACTACGTAAAGCAATACGCCCCGGCCGCTCCACGCATCCCACAAAAAATTGATACAAGGAGTTTCCGGTGTTCTGCCTCCTGGAGAAACGCTCCTAGTCCTTGGGCGTCCTGGTGCTGGATGTTCGACTCTTCTTAGTGTACTCGCAAATCAGCGTGCGCAATTCGTAGATGTTGAGGGTAGCGTGCAGTATGGCGCAATTGGGTCGGATGAGATGAAAACCCTTTACGGTTCCGAGGTGGCCCTAAACAACGAGGACGACATTCATTTTCCCATATTAAAAGTTGAAAACACCATGCAGTTTGCACTACGTCTGCGCAGGCCAAAGTCCAATTTGAAGACAGATGCCGAGTTTGCTGAATACTGGACTGACGAAATCCTCGATTCTCTTGGCATCAAACATACAAAATCCACAATTGTTGGCAACTCTTTTGTTAGGGGCGTATCTGGTGGCGAACGCAAGCGTGTATCATTGGCTGAAGTTCTCAGCGCTGCTCCTGCCGTCGTTACATGGGACAATCCATTAAGAGGTCTTGGCAGCTCATCTGCCCTCAGCTTTTCTACGACTTCTGAAAGGCATGTCAAGGGCAACTGGAATGTCCAATATTGTCACAGCTTACCAAGCCTCTGAGAGTATTTATAGAGAATGCTTTGATCGTGTTCTGGTATTGTATGATGGATATCAAATTTATTCGGGCCCTGCTGGCGACACTGCTAAGCGTTATTTTACCGATCTCGGTTTCGAATGTCCCCCTCGTCAAACGACACCAGATTTCTTGACAGCTATTACTTCGCCAGATGAACGCCGTGTCAAAACTGGGCATAGCCCCCCACCGCCACTTGATCCTGCTGGTCTTGCTGATGCTTTTCGAAAGAGCTCACATTGCCAGGATCTTTCAAGAGATATTGGACAATTCCGTGAAAAGCATTGTGACGTGCTGAGTGCCGCAGCCTTCAAGTCCGAAGTAGCTGGATCCAAGCACGAGTTTACTCACCCAAAGGCTCTCGCGCTTAGGTCTTTCCCTACTCAGGTCGTGGTCGCTATGCGACGACATTATCAACTTGTCTGGGGAGCTTGGAGGTCGCTCGCCATTATTCTCACCCTAAATGCGGTAAACGCTCTTATCACAGGCTCTGCATTCTATAAGAGATCTCTAACAGCGACTGGAGCATTCGAGCTCAGCGGGTGCTGTCTTCTTCGCCCAGATATACTTCTGCCTAAACGCTTTAGGGGAAACAGTTTCCACGGTTAGTTCACGAACAATTCTCCAAAGCAGCACGCACTAGGCATGCTACATCCAGCCGTTTCGGCAGTTGCTCTCAATATTGCCGAGTTACCGGTGTGTTTTGCGCAGACCGTTCTTTTCACTCTTCCATATTACTTTCTCGTCTTTGCAAACCCAACAGCAGCCGGATACTGGTTTTTCGAATTTTTGATTTTCGTTTTCTATGCTAGTCAATTGGCACTTTTTCGAATGCTGGGTGCATGGTCTCCGAATATACCGGTCGCTCTCTTATTGGGTGGTGCAGCTATGCCGGTCGGGTTAAGTCATTCAGGTTATGGCCCACCGTGGCCAACACTGTTAAAATGGGATTCTTGGATCCGTCGAATCAGTCCAAGTCCATATTCACTGGAAGCGACAATGGGGATTTCTTATGAAAGATGATACTCTTCATTGTAGCTCTGGCCAATTGGTCCCAAATGGAATAGGATACGATGTAGGTGCAAATGCTCTGAATATTTCTGCATAATTTTTGTTTTGTACAAGACAAAAACGTTACATGAAGCTAATGACCCTAATAGAATATAAAAATAGCCAATCAAGGCTGTCCCATCTCAGGAAGCTCTTCAGGATCCTCGACCGTACCAGGCTCAACGTATCTACTCGCCCATTTCGGTTATCGCCCATCTAATGCGTGGCGAAATTTCGGGCTCATCTTAGTCTTCTGGACTATCTACACCGGTTTAACAGCTGTTGGTTTGACTTTGATGACGAAGAATCGGGGCGGAGGTGGTGCAAGTCGTGTATTCAAGCGAGGAGCTGTCATCCCTGACGATATTCGAGGCGAAGAAGAATTTCGCGAAAAAGAATCCGATTTAGAATCTCAAGGAAATCCATCTGCTATTCATCCTCAGGGGAATGCCCAGAGTCTTAATGACTCTAGCAGTACTTTGTCCGCAAATGCCGCTGGTTGGACTGAAAATTCGAAAAATAGTTCTAGAGTAAGTTTATTCCCATGTCCTATGTTGCGAGAAATGGAAGTCTCTACTAACACGGAATAACAGCCTTCATTTACCTTCTCAAATGTCTCTTATTACGTTCAAGTCGATGGGGAGAACCGACAGCTACTCACAGATATAAGTGGATATGTCAGGCCTGGTCAACTCACAGCCCTCATGGGAGTTTCTGGGGCCGGAAAAACTACTCTTCTCGATACACTTGCCCAACGCAAAGATACGGGTATCGTGACCGGCGACATGATGATTGGAGGTCAGCCTGTTGCCAATCTAGGGGCAAGATTCTCTCGGGCTTGTGGATTCTGTATGCAGCAGGATGTTCATGATTCAGGAGCTACAGTCCGCGAAGCTTTAATTTTCTCGGCGATGATGAGGAGGCCATTGTCGGTATCGAAAAAGAGAAAGAGCGCATGTTGAAGAGGTCATGGATCTACTGGGGCTTAAATCAATCGCCGATGCCTTGATCGGCGTTCCGGGAGAGGGAGGTCTGGGAGTCGAGGAACGGAAGCGAGTCACGATTGGTGTGGAGTTAGCCGCCAATCCTTCAATGTTGCTATTCCTTGATGAACCAACCTCTGGACTCGATAGTCAAGCTGCTTACTCGCTCGTCATGTTTCTGCAGCGTATTGCAGCTTCTGGGGTACCTATCATATGTACAATCCATCAACCTTCCGCCGTTATCTTTGAAATGTTTGACCATGTCCTTCTTCTGACAAGGGGAGGACGCACATCGCCCCTAATCGGCCATTGCTTGAATTCTTGGTGCGATAAATACACTGGTAAATGCTTTGAAACAAATCCAAATTGGATGCCGGTCCATAATATTGAAATGCTCCGGTACCAGTCTGGCATACTCCAATACCAGAAGAACGTAGCTCTCGACGTCTCTTGACTGCAAGTGGTCCGTTGTTTTCAATCGCCAGTGGATGATGAGTTTCTGGGCGTATCACGACAGGCGATGCTGTTGAACCATCTCTCAATCCCGGATCTTGTATCTCCTCAAGAGGGTCCAAATCAAGGCGAGGTCTCTTTTTCTTCCTACCCCGTGACTTCAGTGGCGTGTATGAGCACTCTCGATTGTGTTTAACACATGAATTGCATGGTTTATCACCAGAACATTTTTCTTTTCTATTTCGGCAGTTCTGGCAAGTATTTAAAGTCAGTACAACAAAGCCAGATGAATTGAATGAGGATATACTTATGCATTGGCTACTCGATCCACTGCCCCCTTTTCTCTTCCTCTTTCTATACTGGTACCACGATCAAGAGATGTATCTGGAGACGAGGTGGTCTGTGTTATTCCATTAGGTGTTGACAGACTTATGGGTGCTGTAGAACTCTAGTTTCCATCTGATTGAGTTTATGTTCAGTTTGTGATCCGCACGTCTGCGATTTTCTACAGTTTTATCTTCATCGATCATGATTCAGAACGAGCATAGCTTAGTAAGTATGCACGTGATTCGTATCAACCCACCTACCTGCCTAGTAGTATCTGGTCTGGATACCTATGTAATGGAGAAAAGATTCAAAAGATGGCTTTGGCTAATAAAGTAATGAAGTCTTATTGTGTCTATCAATAGCTCCACTTCATATGTCAGACGTTGCAACGAGGGAAAACACCACAAAGTTCACCGCTTATAAATACACCAGAAAGTATGAGCCTGGCCCTGGGTACCTTGGTGGGTATGTCAACCTTTGTGAACTTGTTGAATTGATCATAGTCAAAACTGCGATCTAATTGTAAATGTTTAATAATTCATGTACCGCCCCGCATCTGTTGCTGACTCCCGGGGAATTCCTGATCATACAATAATGTGCGTATAGCACTTTTTAACCCTTAGCCCAGTCTTAACTCATGTCCTGTGAAAATCCATTATACGCCGATTGATGCTGGAATGCGAGAATTGCTAAAGTACAAGAAGGGCATGTAAATCGAAATTAGGAAGGTATGCACTTAAGCGCTGATGATCATGCCATTCGATTTCGTTTCTTCGTCGTCGCCTTTGAGTCGGTCCTCAAATCCTGGGCGCCATTTCTTGAGATATTTGGCGGCGATGGGTTTCGCATTGTCGTCTTTCAAGGTTATTAGTATGGCCACAATGAAGGAAGGAAGGAATTAAATCTTACAAGTGTTCCAAATATCTTCAACTGCGTCAAGAGCCAAGTCTCGAACCGGTGGTCGCATCATAACCAAATAAAGGAGACTGGTTAGCGATAGATTGACCATTGTTGGGTCTTTGCAAAGCCCTTTGATTTTGTTCAACACCTCTGGACTCAACCCTGGAATCTCGCTTAAGAACCTAGTGAGCACTTTGTCCTTCGCATCAAGATAGATTGAAATTCCATCTAAAACCTTGAGTGTCCATTTCTCATAATGTAGCACCGCTGAACCATCCCCCAACTTCATTTGTACTCTGTCGTTGTACCATTCTTCGCACAGCCAAGCGACGGCGATGTCGATTCGTTTTCTAAAATCTTCTAGGATGTAAACAAGCAGTGATTGCCGAATAGTGTTACTCAAGGATATCCGCTCGGTATGTGGCGACTCCAACTTGACAGCGTCTGAAGACCCTTCTAGACCGGCCCCAGCACGTGTTGCAAGGCGTGTAATGATAGTAATCCATGCATCACGATCATAGGCACTAGCTGCTAGTCTGTTTATGCCAGCCTTTGCCTTTCTTGCGGTGGGCTCTTCTAAGGTCTGCATCACACCGAAGACTCGAGACACAGTACCTTGGCCAACCAGGGTCACTTCCTCGGCACTTAGAGACGGAGGGGGTGGCAACGTGAACGGTCCAAGTGCTACATTTGCAACCTTTTCGATATCCACCTTAAGCTCTTCAGGTGGTGAACTGTCTAATTTGTTTAAAATTTGTTCTGTATCTTCGGCATTGTAGAAATCAGGTTCGTAGTCATCATCGTCTTCTTCTACGCCCAGTGGAGCCGTTTCAGGGTTGATTTCTTCGGGCTTAGGCTCTGAGAGAGCTTGAAGTCTTTGCTTTCACACCCTAATTGCAGATGAGTAATCGTGCGAACATATCGTTGAATTTGGGAAACTTACGCTTATAGCCTGTTCAATGGTGTCCGTATCTATCCTCTGGAGAATTGTTATACCAATCTTGACGACCAGATCTTCCGATAAAAGTGCAACATCGAAACCCTTTAGGGCTTCATCGGTGGTGATAGTAAAAAGCTCGGCGATTGTGTGATTCCCAGGTGTTAGTGGTGGTATATGTAGTCGAGCAGATTTAACTTGCGCGCCTAGCTTCTGACGTTTGGCGGGATCTAGGGCGTCCACAGGTTCTGGAGGTCCACGCTTTCTATTTCCCTCGTCGAAGATTTCCGTTTTAGAGCGCATCATTCGTTCGACATATTGCTGGATTCGCCCATTGAGTGGATTGTGAGGGTCCCTACAACCATCAGCTTAGAACAAGCATACTTCACAGGGATAAAAAGACATACCGCTTGCTGATATGAATAAGTAATGATCTAGTAGTCTTTTCCATAGATTTAACCATAACGCGCAATTTGGGAGTCATTGGAGAATTGGCTAGTTTCAGGGGATTGAAGTTTAGAAGAACATTTAGAATTTTATTTGCAACATGAGGACGGGCTCGGATTAAGATGGAGAGGGAATTCAAAGTTGCATCAACAAGTACAGCATCGCTAGACATGTCAGTTCCTAGATGGGGGGAGAATGCGGAATACAATGAGCTCAACATACCTAGAGTTCTCTTGGAAGACGCTGAGGAGTCTATCGAGAAGACCTGACGCTTCAGCTTCAAGGTTTCGGGGAGGGAGAATAGTGTGGTTCGGAGGAACCATAGATAATGATACCTGAAGAGGATCGCCGCGCTATATAGAAGACACCATTAGCATCTTGCCTTTTGGGAAGTGCTATGTACCTCTCATACTTTAGAATCTGCGTCGGGTCCTGTTGTTTGCACCAACACAACCCTCTGCGCAAACTTAATGCAGCATATTCTGATTCCTGGCTTCGCAGTATCCCACATTCGAAGTATGCGAGTTTTGATTGCGACCATGCGCTCCCAAGTCGGTATGTCGTAGGCATTGTTGATACTATTTAGACACACTAGTTAGAACCGGCTCTAAGTTTGGCGCCCATTGCTTGACGCCATCCAAAGATGTGAATATAGGAAGATAGGAGGAATGTTAAGTTCTAAACCATAGCTATAAATGGACAAAAATTCAACATACATCCATCGAACGACAAGTGGGTATATGCTAGCTGCTGTTTGCACTATACTCTTAACTACTGCACTATCTTCGTGCGGGTTCTCGATCATGTCCTTCAAAGTATCAAGTACGACCAAACTCAATGTTTCTTTCTGCGACGAAGGTATGGTTGGACTTGAAAACGTCTCTGCAAGGAAATCTGCGCCCCATCGTCGTAATTCTACCCTCGCAGATGGTCCAATAATTGGTAGTATTCCTTGAATGATCTGAGTGTAATAGTTGGCATCCGAGAGCACAAGTTTTCGAGCATCATTCAATTGATTGATTTGTTGTTCAACAGTCAAGGTAGCCATGACGATGAGGGTAACCTTTAAAGGCTGTGGGGAAAGAAGTCGAATATGATCTACGATAGATTGTATTGTGCAAGCTGCATGTGAGAAAAGACTACACCAATATCAACTATATTGATTTGCTGAGTTTGTAGTCAAATTGACTCCAAACCATTCTGCGAAGCTGTTGTTGAAAGAATTAAGGTTGACAAACAAATTGTGTTTCTTTGATGTGATATTGGCTGAAGGTAAACGCGACCCTTTTTTAAGTTGCGCGATATTGGGAAGCACCAATTCTCAATGGAACCGTACCTAGGTAGTACCCACTAGGCATATTTCAAGGTAGCCTTATCGATAAGGCTGGATCTCATAAATTCCATTACTTGGGAATTTCTTTTTGGAAAGTGGCGCCATTGAACCATATCAATATACCAATTGACAAAAGATTACAAGTCCAAATGCCGTTGTAAGTTCATATTTTGATTCTAGACAGGTGAATGCTTCATACTAATACAGAAACATCATAGAGTTCCTAAGTCTTCCTATTACGATAAGAATTACAAACAATCTGCTGCCCTCATTCGAGCGCGGAGACCATATCTTGTCAAGAATGCTTTGACAGGGGTTGGCATTGCTGCATTTGCTCTTGGAGTGTTGTAAGTATCTGCGAGAGTATTTCAAGCCAGCTCAGAGTAATAACTTTCTACAGTTGCTTTCACTATTAGAGCAGTTTCGCAAGACGACTTCGAAGATGTCAAAGTACCAGCCGCACCAACTACACGGGATTCTTGACTGGATTGTGACGATATGACTGAGATCAGCAACGGTTCTTGTGGGCTAAATCCCATGTACGTGGAGGAGGCGACTTCATAATACCAACCAACATCGAGCAGACTAGGGGCTACAAAATCACAAGTAGATGCAATGATTATCATAGATTCAATGGGAGGCGTTTTGATGAAGGAAAAATCTTGGGAATCTCAAGGGCTTTAAGTTTGTAGCTTTCTATATTTGAAGCCTCACGTTATAAATACAGATGGAGCTAGTATTATTGCAATACCGCCTAAAGGCTGAAGGGAATCATATACCATATGAATGGTAACCATCATACCACAGAACGCCGGACCGAATGAATGCTTTTCTGCCATAACACCCAACATGCACCTTGAACCATATATTTGCGCCCTCGTAGTCATTAAAACTTTACTTGTAAACTCGAAGCGTGAGATTGAATTTGTGGAGATGCACGAGTCACTCACGGTGGAGATATGCGGGTCATCTCTTGTACCACGTCCTGTAGTCCGGCGCGTGATGTCTGGTGGATTTGATTACTGGCGACGGGAGGAACCTGATGGTTATGTTGCTCGTTGGAGATGGATAATAGTGGATGAGGAGGTCTAGTTTGCTTTGGTGACAAAGATGGCTGTCGACTGCCCAATGGTGATGGTACAATAGTGTGTGAGTGCGAAGTATTAGAAAAAGGATTATGTGGAGAAACTCGTCCACCAGACGTCATGTATCCATTAGTATGCTGTAGTACTGATGTTGACACATTAGAGAAAGTTCCTGAGATAGGGCCGCCTTGTTGATGAGAATGGCGACGGGCCTGTACTTGAATTTGCGACAAAGGACTTGTGGTTCTTGGTGTATGCTGGGCTGAAGTCTGACGCTGTATTAAATGGGAGTTGGAAGGATGCTGCGGATTCGCCCAGGGTGTTGTTTCAATGAATTGTTCTTCCGCCGGCCTATATCGCGATGTTGACCTTGCTGTTCGCAATGCCGCAAACTCTTGCAGAGAAAAATTTGCAGGTTGATGCACACTTCTAGTCCCCTGTTAAAAAGCCCCGTCAGCTTGCCTGTCCCTTTTTGGACAAAGGTTTCCTTCTTGGACTAAATCCAACCATGACTCCCAAATAATGCACTTACTCCCATTGCATTAATTACACCCATCTTCTCAAAGTCCTCTTCGAGCTCTGCAGGCGTTGCTCGCGACATCGAAGGAGCGGCTGGAAATCCGACATGTTTTGCGATGCCCGAGAGAATAGAAACCTCGTTGGAATATGCTACCTGGTTCTGAACCTGTTGCGATCTTCGAGTGGGATAGTTCAAAGTGTACTCGGGTACGCCGGTGGAGTAATTTCTTCTATCATGTTGTATTTCGTACCATTGTTTACCTAGTTGCTCCATCTTGGTTTCTCGAATTTCTCTTGCTTCCTGTCGATATTGAATAAGAATCTGGCTCCTCCTCGCAACAGCATAAGTTTTGAGAGCCTGTAGCTCATATTCACGTAATTTCTCTGCGACACGGATTCTCTCATCTCTCCGTGCCTCGACAGGCTTCATCTGTTCAAGAAGATCGGGGTGCGTGGGATGGTCTTGTCGGAGCATAGCCTCCTCTCGACTTATTTGCTCGAGGCGCGCATCGTATAATCTATAAAATATATCAGCGAATGAAACAGTGATCAAGAATGTAATCTGACCTGTCCCTAAAGACTGCGAAGTCCTTCTCAATGCCTCCAAGTTGATCAAACGCACTTATCTTTTTCTCCACTGATCGAATCTGCATTAGAATAATTGTGCATGTTTAGTTTCAACTTGCTGCGACAAACTCACATTCTTCTTCTGTCTTTAGTACGAGATCTGCTTCATCATCTTCCTCATTGTCTACTTGGTCCTCCTCGCCGTTCCGTGTATCATCTTCGCCGTTGGTTATGATGCCATTGTGCAAGCTGTCTGACTCGTCCTCAATATTTATACCATTCTCCACAGCCTTTTTCTTCTTCCTTCCTCGTCTTTTAGGTGACGCCGGTATGCCAGCGGTTTCAGTAGCTTCATCATCGGGAAGCATGGTGTCTGTTATATCCGCAAGAGCCTGCTCCTGTGGTCCATCACCCTCTTCGCCTGATATATTACCACTTATTGTATTTGATGCATCTTCTTCTACGGGTAATTCGTCGTCGATCGCAAAGTCGTCGCCTTGATTAATTATAGAGCCTGTCCGCTTGGGTAAAGGTTCATCAAAATCATCTTCGAGTCCGCCGCTGCCCATTATTGATCGTTTGCGTTTTCTTGAATCAATTTCGGAAGTAGATAACGCTCTCTTTCCTTTGCCCGCAGAATCTTCTAATGACGTACGAGCTGTCGCTGGCTTGCGATCTAGCTCACCATCGTCATGGTGAGAGCTTTTAGGGCTATCATTAGAAACGGCAATGTCCTCGTCAGATAACTGATCTGCGTCATCTTCGTCATCTTCCCTCTCATCTGCCATGATCTGGTTGTGTAGTTTGCTTGGGCTGCGCTCATTCGAATCGGCGCCAGTACGGGAATTAAGAACCACATTCTTTTGCACTCTTAGTTTGTGCGGAGATTCTTCCAGTCGCTCTGTCTCTGCTTCAGAATCGTCATCTTCAGAAGGGTTACTAAGGTCGTCCGATGCTTCGGCATCGTCGTCATGATCTTGCTCGGCATCTTTGTCTTCAATATCACTCAAACTGCTAGAGCGATCTTCTTCCACGTCGAGATCACTAAGCTCGTCGTCAACCGAAGCTTCGTCGGGTATGATTGGATCAACCGCTGGCTCAACGTCAATTTCGCCACTCATCTTAAGAGTAAATGAATTGTTGCAAAATTATTGTGGTACTAGTATTGCTATTGTCGCAAGACGAAGCATTTGGTATCAAGGTATAATTATCGGTAGATCCTCGGAATATGAAAGGCGGTCAATAGCTGGTGGCAGTAACAAACCCGTTGATCCCTGCAAGCTGCAACATTTTTATTTTTTTAATGAAGCCCCGAAATCTCAATATCTCGGGACGACGAAAGGTAGCATATTACCTGCATCACTTATTTCCAACGAAAATATAACTGAATCGCAATGGGTAAACGTAGTCGGAACGAGAGTACCAGCGGAGGGGAGAAAGCCAATGGTAAAGAAAGTGCTGGTAAATCAATTTTCACTGAAAACAAGGCTGTCGACCCTACTCTAGCCTTGCTATTTGCATCAAGTGTAAGTCTTGAAATTTCTGGTATCGCGCAATCTTGCTGATAAATACTAGGCTGGCCCAGTACAAGCTCCTCCTAAATCTAGGTATCAAGAAGCACCTTTGCCTCGTAGAAATATCGAATCGCAGGAGGGAGAATCATCCGAGGTTTCTGACGATGATGAAGACGCCGAAGATGTCGAAATGGGCGAGGGTGACGATGACTTGAGTAGCGTTGATGGTGATCTCGAGGATGCTGAGATTTCGGGTCTATCTGCCGAGGAGGATGATACCAACGACATACATGACGAGGTGCCCGAATTGGATAAATTCATCGAAGCTAAAAAGGAAGAAACCCGAACGAAAACGTAAAAGGAAGACCGATGAACCAGATCTTGAAGGAAAGTACCTTGAGAAGCTAGCCAGGGAAGAAGAAAAGGAAGAGGAAGAACGCCAAGCCGAAAGACGATTGAAGCGCCAGAAGTTAGCTGTAGAGCAAAAGCCGGTTTCAGATGAAAATATGGAAGAAGGTGGTTCTGGTGAGGACGAGGAGGATGCTGATTCTGATAGCGAAGCCGAAGCTGAAGCTGAGGATGATACAGAAGAATCTGGTTCCGAGGAGATAAGCCACAAGAGAAAGACGCCATCCGATGTTCCTTTACATGAATCTCTCGTACCAGATAAGGATGCTGCCGAGCTCGAAAAGGCATCGCGTACTATTTTCCTCGGAAATGTAGCAAGTTCAACTATATCATCTAAAGCCGACAAAAAGATCTTTATGTCTCATCTGTCCTCTTTCATTGATGATCTCCCTCCTCCCCCAGCTGGCAAACCATCTCACAAATTGGAATCTCTCCGCTTCCGTTCCACTGCCTACGCTACTGCTGCATTACCAAAGAAAGCTGCTTTTGCTAAAAAGGATATTATGACTGCTACAACAAAAAGCACAAATGCCTACGCAGTCTACTCTACAGCATTTGCAGCCAGGGAGGCCGTTAAGAAACTCAATGGAACTATAGTACTAGATCGTCATCTTCGCGTAGATGGCGTAGCGCATCCTGCGAAGACCGACCACCGTCGATGTGTCTTCGTTGGAAACTTAGGGTTTGTAGACGATGAGTCTCTTCTTGAACAGGATGGGGAAAATAGCCGCAAACGGTCGAAAATACCCTCTGATATCGAAGAAGGCTTGTGGAGGCAATTTGGAAAGGCTGGTGAAGTAGAGAGTGTACGGGTTATTCGCGACGAGAAAACTCGCGTCGGAAAGGGTTTTGCTTATGTACAATTTACCGTAAGTTTCTTTCATCACTCAAAAAACATTCGAGCTCTTATTAATGCAGAAATATAGGACGCAAATGCAGTTGAAGCTGCCTTACTTTTCAATGAGAAGAAGTACCCGCCGATGCTTCCTCGTGTTCTTCGTGTTGTACGCGCCAAAGCTCAACACAAACAAGTCTCATCCCGACCCACAGCTCGTCAACCTAAATCATCAAAAACCTCCCAAGTATACAATCCAAAGGTTGATCCAAATCAAGCTTCTTTGCAGGGTAGAGCTACCAAACTGTTAGGGAAAGCTGGTGGCGCAAAATTCAAGAAAACCGGGGCCAACGATACGACTTTGGGCTCCAGGGGAGACAAGCAAGTCAGTGGAAACGGAGAAGCCAAGAGTGGAATGGCCGGTATCAAAGCACCTGAAAGTTTCGTTTTTGAGGGTTATAGAGCTAGTGCAAGCAAGGGCAAGCCGAAGGATCTAAAGTTGGGAGGTAAGGGTGGTGGAAAGAAGAAGGGTAAACCCAGAACAAGATCGTCAAACAGAGGTGCCGAGTGGAAGAAGCGAGGCTCGAAGTAAGCTCGGGTTGTTTAGATTGTAATCAGAATAATGATGTAGTAGAGTAGTAGTATTGGTAAATCAAATACTTATGAGAAAGGAACTCTTTGGGTTAGTCTTGACTTTCATATTTTGAAACGTACGTCTATATGAATACGTGAAACCGACTTGAACAAAATTGAAAGATGCTGCATCCAAAATATTGCGTAGTCGGATTGCTACTTGCACAGTTTTGCAATGAACTGCTCTTCAATCTCCGGCTTCTCTTGCTCCAAAAGTGCGGGGCATTGTCTGTATGATACAACACACGTGATATCAATCAATTTTCATGGCCATTTTTTCTATGAACAACCCAAGATTTTCTTTCCCACATCCACATTCTTCTGAACCCCGATATCAAGATGTCTGGCTTTAGCTTCTCATTTGCAGGCGATGATATAGAGATAGATCCAACTCAAGACGCTCTTCCATCTGTCTCCAAGCAAGCTGCAGAAACCGGCACCCTTGCACCACGGAAATCCAGCGGGGCATTCCCGGTAGCAGGACAACCACTTTTACCACCGACCTATCACACTTTAGAGGAATTTCTATTGACATTGCCATCTCAGATTGCTTATTCCACGCTGGCTGTTAAGTTGGATGATGGTAAGGAGATTGGTATTCCAAGAAGAGAGTTATGGGATGTCAGAGCGCAGTTGATGGCTGAGGATGAGGGAAATGGAGAAGGGCTTTTGGGATTGGGGAATGATGATGTGAAGACTGGGGTTTATGAGGGAGGGTTCAAAAGTTGGGAGAGCTCGGTGGATTTGGTTAAGGTTCTTAGTGGGAGGAGTATTGTTGGGGAGGGGAGGGGGAGAGTTTTAGAGGTATGTCTTATTTTCATTGCGACTTTGATGACGGTGGAGCTATCACGAATAATTATGCTGATAACCCTAATAGCTTGGTTGTGGAACTGCTCTTCCATCTCTAGCAGTCTTTCAATGGTTCCTAGAAAACACAACCTCTTCCACATCTGGGTTGGAGCTTGGACTTGCAGACTACAATCCTACAGTCCTACAGCTCGTCACTTTACCCAATATTCTCCTTTCCTGGGCACAAATCACAAAATCTGAGTCTTGGGAGGCAGAAGGCGAACTCGATATCGACGAGGCACTTATCTCTGAATTCATCTCTGCGCTGACTTCTCGCAACATCAATATATCACTCTTCTCTGGTGCTTGGTCTCCAGACTTTGTCTCTCTAGTTACTGATAAGTTGCATCTATCATGCGAAAACACAATCATTATTGGGGCTGAAACCATTTATTCTCCAGCTGCTCTGAAAGCGTTTGCTGAAACTTTGATGGCATTACTTGATTTAAGCACAGGGTCAAATAAGACGGCGTTGATAGGGGCCAAGAAGGTATATTTCGGAGTTGGCGGTTCAATAGAAGATTTCATTGAGGATGTCACAGCGCGTGGAGCTCTTGTAAACCAGGTTAGGGAAGAGTCGGATGGTGTTAGAAGAGCTGTTATAGAAGTTGGAAAAGCAGGCTGAAAATTGAATATGTAATCACAAGTCATATTCATAAAATTCCCTAGCATTGGTGATAACTTTCGACTGTGTTAGCAGGATTGAGGAGTGATCTTTTTGTTAGTATTCTTAAATAATTCTGCTGCTCCCCTAGATCACATTCTGCTATGATAATAACTTGTATCACCACATGTTTAGATACGTATCAGGATGTTTCAATGACTCAATTTGTTTTGGTCATTTTCTAGTTCTATTTATCACCCTGAATGTGGCGTATTTCGCACTTCTACATCTTATCATCTCGAGGCCGATCCTTACACATCCAGTACTGTATAAGACCTCATCAGACCACACATATAGTCATATCTTGAAGGCATTCATAGTCAGGTGAACTTTGGCCATATGCTCCACTGGTAGCAGAGCTATCGAGTCCTCGACACCTTCAATGCCCTTTACTAACCTTACAGTTCCATTTCAACACTTCTATGCACTTAGTATTTTACTCTGAAGCTCAATGCAAACGCGTACCTACTCTAATTTTATTTTGACACAGAGTCATAACTTCGATAAGTCAACTTTGTGTTCCTTGGATGACGCTATTTATTGATATCCTACAGAGACAAAGGATAATTCTGAAAGATCTTGCCAACTCATCCAATTCCACGGGGTACATTCAATTATCTGTTATCCGGATACACCAATTTTGTCAAAAATCTAAAAGAGCATCGAATTCCAAATTACATGTTGTATCCCCAGCCAGCCCATACACTATCCTCAGCACACTCTGTACCCTCAGCGGTACAATAGAATGGATCCAGCTCATTCAAATGATAACAAGCCTATAATGAATAATGAATCAAACAACAAGATGCTCTTCCATGTCAGCCACCATAAATTCCCATGCGCCACTTCCAAAGAAAGGGAAATCTCAAGGCCAAACAAGCGACGACAAAACATATAAGTGGAACCCTACTCATAAACATCAACATCAACATCAACGGCAAAAGTCTTCAGCCAAGTAAATCAGCCCTTGAAATAAACAACAAACCCGCTGGCGAGATATCAAAACATCAAAATCTGTAACCCAGCACTGATCAAGCGCGGAGATGTCCCCATATTGTATTTATGATACAATACAACTAATTAACACACGAGACTCTGCATGGGTCCGGATGTAGCTCGAGAGTCCGAAACTGAACCACTAAATCACGATCCTCAAACCACTCGCGTTGGTCAGTTAATGTGCTTGTCCTGCAGCTATTCGATACTATATAGACTCGAATGAGAATTCTGACCTGTATTATAGTTGAGTAATGCAAATGTATATAGTATAGGAATCCGACAGTAGCAAACGGATGTATGAAAGAGACATTTTTATTTCCTGGTCCAAATGAATATTAATTTTCATTGTGATTTTTACCTTCAGCCTTGAATACCTAGTAGTTTCTACTTCGACTCATCAGAGCACCATCCTTGTGTTGTGCAGACCGCTGCAACGGAGAAGGAGTAAAAAATAGGCGGAATATCCTTAGTGAATGCAAATACAATGAGTGTTTTAAAACCGAAGAGCTGATACTCGAAGTATTTATAATTCCGCTGATTTCAAAGAGCACCCTGCGGTTGAAGAGCACGTGCGCGAGTAGATTGTTCGCAATAAAAATAATATACATCCGGCGTTGGATGCGACAAATCGGTAGAACCGCTTCGAACCACTTTCAAGTAACTTCCAACAGCATATGGGCCGCTTCAATCACGAGATGACAGATCCCTTTTAAAGAAAGATTCCTAGCCCATGTCGCATATCTCATTCAGATATACGATCGCGATACTGTCGCATTGCAGGTGGGCATTTATCTAAAGCTCAACGAATAAATACCTGAGTAATTTGCTTTTCCTCATAATTTCAGTTTTACCAGCGCGCTTTCGCCGTTTTCAAACGGTTTATCACACATGTCTCGCTATCGTTTAGAAGAATCTTCCATTCCCACCGTTAATATATGGATTTAATGCTTGATTCGATGTAACGCATGATTGCCAATGTTTTTCTTTCTACACTCTCCGTAATTTTGATTCGACCTGTCTTCAAATTGTGCGCATCCTTTCCTGTGGGAGGAGGATCTTCCACATTGTTGGGATCGTGAGAAAAGGGCACTATCGGACGTAGACTGCAAAATTCCATACCTCGTTGCGCGAGAACAACATCCACCGATAAGGAATCAAGCTCTGCCAGTGCAGTATAGATGAAGATCTAAAAGCAACTCTCATCAGCCACATTCGTCACAACGACGCTACTCTGCAGATATCTGACCGTATTTGGCTGATCTCATGAATGCTTCAGCTGCAGACAAAAGGAGCGCATAGCCCTATCAGGCGAAGTCGCCGATCACTCGGTATATCCGAATATAATACTATGCGGTTTCAGTGCGAAAATCCGTCACTTGACATGAGTATTATGCGTCTATATCGACGATTTGATTCGTCAAATAACAATTGACGTCTCTCACACAACTGCCAAGCATGTGGACGAAACCCAAATATGAGCCTACGGAGAATAAGCTGCCAATACGTCAAGCTAATATAGCGCACTGCAACAATGCATATGTACAACCTACAATTAACGCAATACAATGCATGCAGTACTCTATTGCGTTGCGCGTCACTAGCAAGTACCAATGACGTTAGACGGTTATATAAAACCATATACAATGTGCTATCTCGGCTTGAACGGCACATTATAAGAACGTCGGGCTCATCAAGTGCTGAGGATTTGAAATTACTGCTCAATCCGCTGGGGGCTCATTTCATCCTTCATTTCGCTCACGCCGATCGAAGGGACACACCCCCGAATTGAGCCAACTTCTTGCGATAGGCGTGCACACCCTCGACAGCCAGCCTTATGCATGGCTTGATGTCAGCCATTCATCGCCAAGAATGCCAAAACGTGCCATGCCCGCGATGTGCTCACGCCACTGAAGTTATGGCGCAAATGATGGCTGGAAGGAAGGAGCCGCCTTGTCGGGACATGCGGGTGTATAATACGACGGCAGGCATCCACCTTCGTCATGTTGTGAGACAGTTTGATAGATGAGCAAAGTATATGCTTGAGATGGACGTCTCCCATTTCGAGGCCTGCGCACGTGGGAGATGGTGGTTCGGAAGAGTTATCGCATCGAAATTTTGCCGACTAGGAGGAATTCCTAAGTAGATTGGCGTATAAGCAGTACGGTTCGGGTGATGGATAGATTATCGATCTATTTGCAAGCTCTTATCAATGATGTTTGTCAGAAAACATCAAAATCGCAAAGGAAAGGCAAAGTCGGTCACCGTACAGATGCAGGGACTGCAGCATCCTCACCGATATTCCCAGGACATGCATTCATCCAGATCATGGGTTGCCCCACCCGGCCGCTAGAGCCAACGCTTAATCCAAAATCCGAAAAACCTGTGAAAAGTTGAGAGACAAGAACGTGTTGCTTTCTCGCTACATGATTGGTTCACTTCAACCTCATCTTTCAACAATGAAGAGGAACCACCAAGAGATTGAACGCGAGTCCAAATTTACATTCGAGACGAAATCCGCCAAGTTCTTCTTATGCACGACAGTAAAGAAGTTTTATCTGACAGATTCTTTCGATGGAAAATGTGCCGTCTTGGAAAGCTTGTGCTAGTGAAAACTCACCCAAATACTTAAGAGGGAAAATTATCACAACGACGACCATCCACAATATCAAAAGACCACTGCAAAATGATAGCTACAATATAAATTAACTATCTGGGGCACCCGCACATGGTTCTTTGACTGCTCAGTGGGGGATAGTCACAATATGAATAATAGTGCACAGCAGGTAAGTGGAGAAACATGCCGTTTCTCATCTTGACAGGAAGAATGACAACGATTTACTATAAGACCCCCCATGAACATTGGTTTTAAGCCAGGGTGTTGGATAATAGAACCGAGGAAGACTCAGGAAGTGCATGTTCTCACTGTTCAATCATGTCTCAAAGCAGACAACCTTAAAAGGCTACCGTGGCTAGCTCCGTGTTGTCCGATTTGGATATTTCGTTCAAGAACCAAGTGGGGGAAGTGGCCCGTAACGTCGACGGATTTATCAATCAATATCACAATGATACCTATTATCTAGTTTAGACGTATAGGATCAACGACAAGCTACTGATACAGCATCAGAACACTTGAATCCATCAAGCTTGAATCCATGTACACTTGCTAAAAGTATTGGCATGACAGAACTTGACAAATTTCGGGAAATTTTCTTGGTATTGGTATTCCGGATCGAGGAAGATTATTTATGACGAACCAACTGATTTTGGGAAGTACTTACTCTCCTACTGTGCCTATCTAGGTAAGCAACTTATGAGTTAAAAGCGAAAGTCACAGTAGCAATCTAGACCAACGACTAGCTGCTGCATCTCGAACCAAAAAAAAACAGTTATTACATTAGTTTTAACACTCGATAACCTTAAAGCGGGTTTAAACGGCGAAAATTGTTGGAATTTACTATACGAGCAAAGGCAATTTGTCGAGAAAGTCTGTTACTACCTACCCCATAAGTAAGGTTAGATCGCACTAGATGATGCATTCATTTAATTCATTCTCGGTTCTAAAATAATCGTCTCAACTCTCAAGTCTCAAGTGATCACAGGAAGGTACTGACTGTACTTAGGTAGGTATCTTTAGCAAGCGACTTCTTTAGCTCAATTGATATTCGCATCACAACCCAATTAAACGCCATGCCCCTTCATTTTTTTTATGTACTTCCCTGTTCAATCCCATCTGAATTTTCTTGATTAGATTGGCACGTGACTAGATGTATTGTGCGAATGGAAAATCGAAAAGAAAGATCTCTCAATTCAATCCATAATCAGTTTGCCCTCCAGTCTCGACAGATCTGACTGGAATGATCACACCTGCCGAGGTGAGTAATGAATATGTGGCAAATTCAATCGAGTTCCACTACCGCCCCAGCCATATAATAAATCCAACAACGAAACGACCAGAAGCAAAAAGACAAGTCAACTTGATCCGATAAAAATAAATCCACCAAAGGGACTAAACCAATCCAAGTTACATTGATTTTCCTCGCTTTCTTTCAAAATCCCACCCGGAATTCGAAAAGGTCCACTTTAGCCCCGCCTGAAAGTTTGAAGACCCACTTCGGAGTACTCCTACTTTATCCATTTTTTTCATGCTACCAATCTAGGATACTGACCTACCTGGTACATGAACATGGACCACCGTAGTGAAAAAAAAAGGTAGGCTATGATCTAATTCCCTTATTTATTTCATCTCCCCCCAATTGCTCTTTGCTTCCTTTCTCTTCATCGACAAATTTCTTCATTTCCCCCTTCATTGCCCAAGCAATAAGGGCTTCGTCGTCAAATTCCTCAAAACTCTCACCCTTTGAGGTATCGGTCGCCAATTCGCACAATGGCGAATCCTGTTCACACCCACGAACATCATAATCCTACCAATATGGGAATGATTGGTCTTCCTCATGGTCCGGAAACCGGTGATGACCATGTGTCGATATACGATCTGGGAGCTGATGAAGCTGTTTTCAACGAGTTTCTTTACCCCGATGATATTTTCACGGCAGAGCATGTTTATTGGGCAGATCTCAAATTGACAGACAAAATCTCCTTCATCACTCGAACTGAGGGGGCTGATGCAAAGAAAGAGATCAAGTCAATTTTGGCAATGATGAAAAAGGACCCCCTCAGTCCTGTCAGTTGGTATTTCAGCAATGCCGTTCTCCCTGGTGCTGGTTTGGGTCTTGAAGGGTATGTCAATTTACGTGATCCATATTTCCAATACTAATTATGTTTCCAGATACGTTCTCTTCTCTATCGGAAACTTGGGACCCCTCTTCTCAGCAGTCTGGCCGCATTGCTGGAAAACTTTCGAGGTTTGTAGCGAGCAATGGACTTATGCTGTCACTTACTTGGAAATTAGTGGTATTATTGTTGGTCAAATCTTGGTCGGATACTTGGGTGACAAGATTGGCCGTCGTTGGGGTTTAATCCAAGATGCTGTCATCATGTTTCTTGGTCTCGTCATGCTCATCGCTTCTTGGGGTACTACTCTCAATGGTTGGGTTATTTGCTATGCCTGGTCATTGTTCTTCTACGGTATTGGTGTCGGTGGTGAATACCCAATGACAGCCACTGCTGCTATGGAAAGTGCCACTGCATCAAACCGCCAAACAACCAAAATAGACAGACTTCATCGTGGCCGCAAGGTAACCATGGCCTTCCTTATGCAAGGTTGGGGTCAATTCTTCAATCAAGCCATTCTCATCCTCTTGCTTCTCATTTTCCATCATGGAAGTGGAAACCCACCTTATTCCCAAGTCTCAGCACAATGGCTTTTCAGAGTCTCGTTCGCTATCCCCGCTGTCGGTACTCTCTGGCTTGTCTACTACCGCATGTATAAGATGCCTCTCATCTCCAAGGGACTCGATATTGCTAAGAAGACCACAAACTTCACTGGATACGACAAGGAGTCTCTGAGCTTAACAGTAAAGCATTTCTCGGGTCGCTTAATTGCTACAGCCGGAGCCTGGTTTTGCAACGATGTCTTCTTTTACGGCAACAAACTCTTCCAGTCTCAATTCATCAAGGTCATCTCTCCAGGCTCAACTTCAATTATGGAAGGGTGGTTATGGAACTTGTGCAACGTCGGAGTATCTCTTGCCGGTTATTACTGCGCCTCGTTCCTCATCGACAACAAGCTCTATGGACGAAAGTGGATGCAACAAGTTGGATTTGCTTTAGATTTCATTCTTTTCGTCATCCCAGCTTTCCATTACGCCCATTATACTAGTATCGCGGGTATCAAATCTTTCCAGGCCATGTACTTCTTGTCGTCCTTCTTCAACCAATTCGGTCCAAACAGTGTTACTTTCCTCGTCGCTGCAGAGGTTTTCCCAACACCTATCCGTGCCTCCGCACATGGATTTTCAGCAGCTGTTGGTAAATTGGGTGCTTTATTCGCATCCGTTCTTTACAATTTCATTACAACCCAGCAAAAGTTTTACATCGTCCCATGGTTCGGTCTTGCTGGTATGCTCCTCACCGCTGTCTTCCTTCCAGATACCACCGGTCTCGATCTCAAGGAACAGGAACGAAGATGGAAGTACATCAGATCCGGTAGGGAATCTGAATATCACGGTATTGCCATTCATCCAGCACATTTGTCCTTATGGGAAAGATGGATGAAGGCTGGAAAGAACTATGATCCTAAATTGGATGCTGGAGACAAGATTCTTGAGATGCGCCAAGAATGGGAACTCAAACAAACCGAGAAGGGAAAGAATGAGGAGGATATTGCAACTTACGACGATGATTGGAGCCAGGAAATTCACCAATATTTCCGTTCTGATAACAGCCCGATAAGAACTCGCGCCCCAACTCGTGTAGAACCAGTTTCCGAATCTACGAGTGATGAAATTACGAGAGAGAAGTAGTTAGATATCTGTTAATTTCTTGGGTCTCTTACGGCGTTTTGGGTTGGTATTTGGACGGGAGATTCCCCCAGAAACTTGTACAACTTGATGTTGGAAAAGTTGTTTATTCATATAATATTTACTCATAACGATCACACTGGCTTGCATGCCCTTGGTGGGACGAGATACATAGAACCTAATGATAAAGATTTGATTTTACAATGATTGTCGTCTGATATAGAATTGAAGTGATTTATGTTTTCCCGGTTCAGATTTGACAAGCAAAGTTGTCCTTGATCCAAGCTTAGCTAATAAATGTCTGACATGCACACTTCTATAGTGTATTTTAACATGCAATTCAAATTCACATGTCATCATTTTGTTCATCGATGACATATGAATTTGGGCCGGTGAGAGCACGGCCCCATCTGTGCCAATGACTTCAGATGAAATAGACCTTTTTCGACTTGACACAAACACGATTTGAAACTTAACAACCAGATGATAATTTTACATTCTTCTGCATCGACTGGACTCATGAAGATCAGTAATGTCATCGGGAACGCTTATTGCGGGATCTTAGCTTGGTCATCTTTGATGCATGAGATGAATACATGCACCCACAATCACGTATGGCCCCCAAAACCTCATGATAAGCGTTCGAAGTACCTTCTGTGTTTGCTTGGACATACATGAGGGTGTGTTCATCGAGATGGGTTGGTTGATTTTATTGGCTTGTTGTATGTGTAAGCATGTAAGGCTTACATACCATCAGCGCTTCATCGAGTATCTGTTTGTGCGGCTCTGAGCTGCAAGGTTATACGTAACCTGGAAGATGGTTACATACCTAGGTAAGGTGGGCTTACATTGAGGCTGCTCATGAGATGAGAAAATAATCGGAAGACTTCTTTTCCTTACCATTGCTCTATAATTACTGTTCATACCTGATCAAAACAATCAATCAATTAGAGCATATCGCTATATTTCTTTATACATGGTTTCCTTGCATCTCTAGGTGCGTCAAAAATGGAGATTCGTCGTGGAACTGATTGGCATACGGATTCGGAAATCTCAATGGTTCAGTTAAGACCGCTCAAGACTTCTCCCTCCACTAGAACCTCGACTGGCGATAATGAGGTTCAATCGCAGAATTCCGTGCCACATAACAGCGCCGAAACATCACAAAGTGAGCCTGCTAGACTCAATGGCCGCCCGAAATCAGAGTTAGATGAATTATCTTTCACAGGAAGTCCCTCTCTAGGACAGAAGCCAAGAACTACAAAAGTCGAGTGAGAAATTCTCTGCTCCCAATAAATGTTTATGACTGACAGAATGACAGCATAATCGGAGTTCCTGCTATTGGAGGAGATCCACAGATGACATGGATGCCTGAAGCTAAATTCACACAGGATGGGCTCTTTCCACTTGATAATGATAGCGAGGTGAAGTCGGCATTTATGAGAATGACACCTGTATCACCAGCTTACTCGATGAAACATTTTCATAAAAGGAGACCTGCGTGGATTGTCCGCGATATTCGTAGTCGTAAGGATCTGAGCATGGCTCGAGTTCTTTTGTATGACCATGGGTACCCGAAAGACGGTGATACATTGAAGCAATTAGCTAGTAGGCTTCTGGAAAGTGTCAGAAAGCTAAGGTCAATTGAGGTAGGAAGAGCATGGTATTGTTCGATACCTCAATTCGAATTGTTGCACCTGTGAATTTACTAGAAACCCTTGCCTGACATATACATAGGAGGAAAATCGTCCCCTTTTTTTCGTCTGTCACAGTACCGGGGGGCTAGTACTCAAAATAGCTCTGACCGATGCTCGAAGGCGCGGAGATCCAATTCTTCATGATTGTTATGGTGTCACTTTTTTTGGTATGTCCAAAAAGGAAGGCGATAAAGGGCTTGCCCACTCATATAGCTAACGCAATCATAGCAACACCACACAGAGGCTCGAGTTATTTGTCGCAGCCAGGATTTTCTGGCAGTATCCGAACGATCATGGGTCTATCACGGGAACTCCCAATATCCATATCAAGTCAGCTGGAACTAGATCACCATTCTCTGAAGCAAATCGGGAAAGACTTTAAAGCTCTAGCCACGGAACTTAAAGTGTGGACCTTTTTCGAGACAATAGATTCAAACATTACCGGTCCAGATCAAGGTAAACCTTTTCATGCACCTATCACATCTATTAAATCCGCAATACTTAATCTACGTAACGAGAGTGTATATCCATTGGTGAGCACTCATACAAAGTGTGCTGCATTCGGCTCCGCAAATGGGCATACTAAAGAAGCTTATTTGGTGGCGCTAGCCGCTCTGGTCGAGCAGGCTTGTAAATTGAGTAAAATCACCCACTGTGAATTAAATCTTGAACAAAGAGTGGAGGTAGAGATCAATGGTTTTTATGAAGGCTCTGCTACCATCCCAACTAACGAGCCCCCAATCAGAGTCTGGTCAACAAACAGATCTCTGCACGATTTTACACGAAATGGTCCGGCCAAGCTTTTGAAGGAACGAAGGGAAGAAGTATCAGCTGCCCCAATGGACGGACAATATTTACGTCACAATACCCGTGCTCCATATTTGCCTATGGATAAGATCACTTCTGATGCCAAGATCAAGGGTCACGCATTTATTCCTAAATCAACATCGAAATTGAACCCTTTTAAGAGAGGTTCAAGCCCTTCTCCCCAGACTCGAGGAGCGACAAAGATCAAAGCCAAAGGATCGCTAGATGTCAGCGAGAGTAAAAAAATCGGACCGGTTCCGTCTCCGCCTACTTTGGTAAATGTTACTTTTACACTAATCGGGGAAATGAAACTGATCATTGATACAGATAATGACCTCCGATGTGGATGACAATGTAGGTATAGTTACAGAACTATGGGCGCCTATAAAACTGCGCGAATCACTCCCAGCCGTGCAATCAAGATCAAGCGATCCTGATGTTGCCAATGCCACATCTCGTATATCGTTCGAACAGCACAAATTATGTCTTGACCATAAATTGAGCATTATATAGGGATTACAGCCATCCATTCGAAAGTCGCGAACTGAGAACGACGAAACAGCGACCAGGCCCGAGCCTCCCCGGAGGTACAGCGAATCTCTGACGGCGCAGAGTTCTTTCTTGAGTCCACATCGTGCCAGTCTTCATCAAGAAAAATCCTCGTCATCTGCAGGACGTGAAGAAATTGAAATTGTTCTCACTCCCAGCGTACCTCCTTTACTGGACCCTAATTTCTCGAACCTCAAGCTTACATGGATACATGTACCGTTCAACAATCCTACCTGGGTCCCAGTAAGCTCTGAATTTTCCTGTTTATCCCTTTCTACTAACTCAAAAGGATGTTCTTGAAAGAATATCGAACGAAAAGGGGCCAGATGTCCACAGTAAAATGTTAGATCACGAGCACTGGCATTCAAAACAAGTACGTGGAAGGCACCAAGAACATCATCATGCTTGTTTCTTAAAGCCTTATTGTTCTTTTTTTGGTTTAGAAAGTGGTAAGTCTATTCTCCCATGCTACACACGTCTACTTACGCACGTTTGAATCAGTATCACCGTTAGCATCCCCTAAAATTGGCATTGGATCTTTTGACATGAATCATGTTCAAATGTGCTTATATTTGCCTTATCTTCACTTTGATACCTATAAGGTCCTTGTGAAAAGGAGAGATTTCGTTAAAAAACGAATCGAGCAAGGTCGATCGAGACCTGTTCCTCAACAAGTGTCAAAGCTTGACTCACAAGAGATTCAAGTCCTCTGGCAGTATCTGGGACACGACCCTCCAGTAAATGCTCGGCGTACACTAGATCAATTTGGATATCCGAGTCTTCTCGATACAAGGGCGAGAGATGATGATCAGATGCTGTATAAGATGACCAAAGAACGGCATACCAAGTCAAACGGTACAACAAATAACACTGCTGACGGACAGAGCAATGTAGCTCGGATGATGAGACCAGCTCAGGGAAATGATAAGGAAGATGCAGTTGATGAAAAAAGTGACGATTCCGACAACCCAAGCGATAGAGATGCGATGTCTGATGGCGACGTTCTAGATGGAAATGTTCTTATGGTTGATCAGCTCTGGTTATGGGTCATTGATGGTATGTACATTTGAGGGCAAAACTTCAAAGACTAAATGTGGCGCTTAGGTTCTGTTGTTACTTTCTTCTCTAGTGTAAGATACTTTCACACCAATTCCGTTGGTGTATCAAGCATTTAGCTAATTTCAACCTAGAGAGCTGGACAGAAAACGGATGGAAGGCTATTTCAACAAGCTGACCTTCGAGACAGCATTTTTAATGAAGTCAACGCTGATCTTACTTCTCGCTGTGAAAATGCGTATGACCTTGCAGCTCGTGAGCAATTTTTCTTCTGTTTTAATATTCCCTGAAATCTAATTTTGTCTGAACATTTGATGTCTTACAAGTTCTTTTCGTTCCAAGCAGCTTCATCTCCCTCTCTACTTGCCCTGGAGATTATTGTTCATGACTAGGTGATTACTAACACCTGAATGCTTTAGTGGTCGCTCTTCATGCAGTTACTATCTTGTTCGAACGAACTTCGCATCCTAACTTGGAAGTCTTCCGAATATTTGAAGAGGCAATCAGTATTCTGGCAAGTCTCCTCTCGGATGGCTTTAGGGCTAGTTTGGATGTACAAATCCGCGCTGGATCCGCTGAATATTCCGCTCTTTTTGAAAGCGGATTTTGAATTCATGTTTGGACGTCAAATCGCGGATTCCGTCAAATAATCCGCATTTCAATGAATTTAGTGTATTTCGAGGTGGGGAGGAGGTGGATCACTCTAAAATGACACTAAATAATCCGCGTTTTTCACCAAATTTGTATGGGAAAACAAGGGCGCGGATTGAAAACGAGGACTAGAAAAAGCAGTCCTCGTTTTCAATCTGACAAATAATCCGCGTTTTTATAGGCTCTTATAGGCCTTTCACCCTATATCCATATAGTATTATAATGATATTAGTGCTTCAAATACCTAAGTTTATAGGGTATCTTTATTTTTCTTCAAATCGTCTCTGATTTCGATTTAGATTACTTTACATTTCTATTCCCCACATACTAGAATATATATAGCTTAGTTTAAAAGTAGATTCTTCAATATTCTTTCTATTATAGCTTTAGATTCTATTAATGATTTAGATTGTAAACTGCCTTTTTCTTATTCACAATGAACGACGATGAGGTTGATGATTCTGAACAGTTTATTCCTATCTTGATTTATAATTTAGCTGCTGTTATTGGCTCTTTTTATTGTACTCCAATTTCGAAAAAAAGAACTGGTACTCCTGGTGAATTTAAAACACAATCTCTTCTTGATTCTAAACACCCTCAACGTTGTCAAGAACAACTGCGTATGCCTCTACGCACTTTTCGACTTTTGATCGAGTTTTGTCACGAAAAAACAAAGCTACAACACTCTCAATATGCTTCAATTGATCAAAAACTATACGTATTTCTCTATATCGTAGGCCAGCGTGGAACTATACGTAGTACAGCTGAAGCCTTTTCTCATTCTGAAGAAACAATCCATAGGTACGAAAAACACCTTATATAAATCTACTTATTGGTTTATTCTAATGCGCTTTAAGATGGTTTTATCAAGTTTTAGATGCTATAATGATATTATACCCATTAGTAGTAAAGCTACCGGATCCAACTATACAATTCGCTCTTCCTCGAGTAGCAGAAGATGAAAAATATCGTACATATTTTGCGAATTGCCTAGGAGCTCTCGATGGCACCTTTATTCCAGCAACGGTACCTTTCGAAGATCGATCTGCTTATTTCAATCGAAAAGGGTATACTGCACAGAATGTTCTTGCAGTAGTTACTTTCAATTTACAATTCTGCTATATATTAGCCGGTTGGGAAGGTTCTGCGAATGATCAAAAGGTGCTTTCAGATGCTTTGATTTCAAAAGGTTTACGAATTCCAGAAGGTTATTATTATCTAGGTGATGCAGGATATGTAAATACTGGGCAGGTTCTTACTCCATTCAAAGGGGTAAGATATCATCTACAAGAGCAATTGGGATCCAATAAGACACCCAAAACACCAGAAGAGCTTTTCAACCTTCGACACTCTTCTTTACGAAATGAGGTTGAGAGAATTTTTGGAGTACTCAAAATGCGCTTTCCATTTCTAACACAACAACAAAAATACCCATATACAACTCAAATACGTATAGTTTATGCTTTGTGCGCTCTACATAACTTTATTCGACAAAATAGCTTCGAAGAAGATCCATTCGAAGTTCAATTTGATTGTATCATCGATCGTGTTCCAAGCACTATGGATGATACAATAATGAATTCAAGCAGTAACGAATTAGACTCTATTTCGTCACAATCTATGGACTACTTTCGACAAGGAATTGCAGAGGCTATGTGGAGAGATTATTGCAAGGTGAAAAGAGTTCGAAAAGCGCGAGAGAAAGAAAAGCAACACCGTATTGAAATAGAATTTGATAAGTACATGTAATTAGAATAGAAAGTAATCATCAGGGTTTCTCCATTTACCATTATCTTCTGCCATAGCTTCTGGCGTTTCTTCGAATTCTTTAAGGAGTTGAGAGAGATCTTCTTTCCATTCTGTATAATGGAGTAGATTCCAAGCTCGCTTATATCTCACCCCATCTTTAGGAATCCAAAATCCATGTCTTTTTGGATCATAGCTCTTATTAGAGGTCCACCATTCTTCAGGTCCAGGAAGCTTGATATCACTCTCTCCCTCTAGCTTCAAAATATCAGAGCTCCAAGAAGCAAGATTTCTCCAAACAGCACGTTGTCGACGACTGAATATTTTATGAGGGAGTTTATTAGGATACAAATATACTCTATTAATATATTAATAATTTGATATAATAATAAGTGAGGGATAGTAAGTGAGAAATGGCTAGGGAGAAATGGCTAGTGAGAAAAAATCAAAATAAACCTACCCAGACGAATCTTTCACCCATGAAAAATCCGAAGATTCTTCATCAATTTTTTCGTTTAGACTCTTTAAATTAGTCATAAACTGCTCTACGCTAGCTTTCCAAGCTCTAATCCAAATCAAAATCCCAGAAAGTCCAACTGCCTAAACTTATATATTAGCATTTATAGAACCAATAAACATTACACCTTCATACTTGTTTTAATTCTTGATTGATATTCAAATCTTTCAAGTCAATCTTTTCAAGCTCTCTAACTTCATTGTTCTCTTCTTTATCATCAGATTCCTCCTCTTCCTCTTCCTCTTTCTCGTCAATATCGACTTCCCAACCCTCAAAATCTGTTTCGGAATCATCTGATTCAGACTCTGATACAGGGTTATCGTTATTTTGAACAAGGTTTTTTGCCTTCAACGCTTTTCTAAATAAAGTTAATTAAAATCAGATTTTCATTTGGATCCACGTACTGGGATTGTCGCATTTCGATATTCAATCGAGTTTGTGCAACCATTTCATCTTGTCTATTCTTCGATGCCTTTAAAAAATCAGAAGTTTTGCGAAGCACTTTCAAAGCGTAGGAAATCTGATGCTTTTTCCTATCTTTCTCTTTTTCGACTTCTAGCTCTTTAGGTGTCATTCTTGCCTTTCGATTGCGTGCATTTCTAGCTTTTCGCTTTTGCGAATATTCTTCTTGCTTTCCCTGTAGCTTCTTCTTATTAGATTTAGTTACTACTGGCATCTTTTTGATTCTTTGAAGCTTAGAAGAGATTCAATATTATAAATATAACGCTTATTATTGTTGTTGTTATTGTTGTTCCTAAAAGCGCGTTGTTTGTGCTGTTTGTAATATTTTCGTATTCGGAATAACTATATTCCATGAGAAATAAGTAGTATGATTGGTTGAATTACGCGACACGTGATACATTAATTCACAAACACGCGTTTCTAAACATTTAATTTTTCAACGCTTATTCCTTTCGCCCCCATTCTTGAAGCTTTTTAGGTATGCACCCCTTGAATATTTGAAACCTTTTCTACAATAGACTGAAATGATTCAAATCTAGGCCTTGAAAGCGCTACATTCCAGGAAATCCTGTAGCTGTAATATAAACTACAAACGCACTACATAGGGAAGCTATGTCACGTACTAATATCGGAAAGAGATCAACGAATAAACAAGAGCTAGGTGTAGGTGGAAGGTCACCTTTTTTTAAAAATAAGAGTGTAAAGAAAGCTTCGAAAGCAAAGGTTCAAAGTGCAAGAAAGCAGCCTAAAAAAGGAAAAGCAGAAGTTGCTAAAAGAGCTCACCGATGGAAAGCGGGGAGTAAGTAAACCTTTTCTTGATTTCTAAGCTTCTTTCTTACTAATTGAGTATAGCGGTTGCATTACGAGAGATTAAAAAGTATCAAAAATCGACCGAATTGCTCTTGAAAAAAGCCCCTTTTCAACGTTTAGTTAAAGAGGTTTCGGATCAATTTGCACTTGGTGGAGAGTGTTGGAGGTGGAATGCTGCTGCTCTTGTAGCAATTCAAGAGGCAGCTGAATCCTTTATGATTACTCATTTTGAGAGTGCGTTTTCTATCCTTTCTATTTATCAATTGAGTAGATTATTGATTTAATTTATAGTGCTACAACATTGTGCATTTCATGCAAAGAGGCAAACTATTAAAGACACAGATAGCATTTTTCTTCGAAGAATGATGGAGCTGGCAACCCCTGTTATTGGTGGATATTACACCTTGAGAGGCTAAACTTTACAGTTTTCTCACTAGCCGTTTCTCACTAGCCGTTTCTCACTAGCCGTTTCTCACCAGCCGTTTCTCACTCGCCATTTCTCACTAGCCAGCTATTACATACTTATATTCTTTATTTCACATACCTAGGGCTGGTGAATAGGTGTCATTCGTACTCATATATTGTTAATATCAAATAAGACAAAGGTATTGAAAGATATAATATTAATATCTAATTGAATAAATACAAAGGTTACATTGATAAAAACATACAATAAAGAGAACAGAGTGAATAGAACTGCCAAATCAAAAGCTATTAGAACTTGGAAGCCACCCTTCATTTAAAGCTTGTTGTAAAGGAGCGGATAATAGAGGCATTTCATTATTTTCCTTTTCGTGCTGCTCTTTAAGCTCTCTACAGATCTTATCCACAAACTCTGCTTGAAATGGGCCTATACGCATAAACATCAGCAGCTCACCATAAGATTGGCGAACACCAGGCACCGGATATTGTAGGAAATCAACAAGCTTGAAAGCAATATCAGCCCCTAGGACTCATATTTGCTAGGGTAGTTTTGTGCGATCATATAGTATGCTTGGTGCCAAAGGGGCAGTGGGTTGTCGACTTGAGTATGTAAGGCGCTAGAGGGGTTTCTCGATTTATTAAAATCTCTTAAAGATCATTAATATGAAGTAAACTATCTGCAACTTCAGAAGAGACAGTTTTTCGAGGCCTTTTCGATGGTGTGTAGCTCGCAATAAATTGTTTATATCGCTCTGTTTCTAACTATAAATCAGTTAATAATAAAATACATCTCAAAAATATGAATTCCTTACCTTGTGTGTCCCAGAGCTATGTTTATTCCACCTTTTTAGCGCTCTTATCTGAGAAAGGTATAGAGCGTATTGAATCAGCAAGATTATCCTCCTCATCCGAAGAAAGAACGATTGTTGTGCATTAAAGCTGTAGGGTGATATGCAAATTTTACCACTAGCTGTGCGAGTTTCGAATAGAAATTGAAGAATCGACCAGCTCTCTGTATAGTGACTTCGATGCCAACGATATTTTCGATTATTAGCTTCGCTTGCTTGTAGAAGCGTTTTCCATAGATGATCAGGTGCATAAGGCTGCATAGTGTCGTTCTTTTCATTGAATCTAGTGCCCCAACCAGATAGGTTAAGAAGATACCGACACTCTACATAACGTCCCCTTGATCTAAATCAAATCAATTAGATCAAATAAACAATAAAAAAAGAGGATGTTCATACCGAATTGATTTTTCTTTTAATTGATCACCAGTTAGATTCTCATTACTATTAGTGCGTGTCTTGTGCTCTAAAGCAATAGCTTGTGCAAATTGACTATAATGAAGTGTTTCTCCATCCAGTGAATTGACCTGGTCGTTGACTAGTCTTCTGTAGATGACTTTGCATTAAGTTTAAAAGAAGCTTTTCGTAGGGTTCCATTTGAACTGATTCGTAGATTTCTTCGAAATATCTTCGGTCTCAGTTTCCGGATCCACTGATTTATCCTCCCTTTCAATGGTGTCGGGTAAAGGGGTTCTTTTCACTTTTTGAACCACTACAGGTGTTATGTTTTGGGTCTTGATTGGTGTTGTAGCTATTATCGACATCCCTCTCGTCGTCATCGTTCTCATCGCTGTCTGTATCGATGTTTGTTGAGAGCCTCTCATCGGTTTCGGAATCCTGCTATATATTATAATTAATATAATTAAAAATAAGCTTTATTGAATCAAATACCTGTGTGTAGCTTTTCTTTTTTGTAGAGGGTATTCTTCCTTCTGATTGAAGGTGGTGTCGTCATTGTAGAAGGAGCTGGATAGTGAATCTCTAATGGGAGAAGAGGAGGAGGTATCATATCTCGAAGTTGGCTTTGAGATTCGGTTGCTTTTGCTGTAGGTTTGGGCTTTCGTTTGGAATGACGAATTGGGGGAGAGGGACTTCGAGTTCGAGATCTTCTACCTCTTTTTCGTACAGATATAAACCTTCGATTGCCATCGTCGTCAATAATTTTCGACTTCCTAGATGCTTTCGAGGTGTTTTGGGTAATGATTGCCATCATTGGCCATTGAAATAATTTTATATATAGAAAATAGCTTCAAAAATACTTCAAAAAAAGGTTCTTTCTTTGAAAGAAAAAGAAAGAAGAAAGATAAAATCAAAATGTGTTTCTTTTCCAATTCGAAGCACTTTTTCAAGATCATTACTCTATTAAAGCTTTTTACATGGTTCTCAATTTTAAATATGGGGTTTTAATATCGAATTGAAGTTTAAATTGAATATTCTAGAAAAACCACGGATTATTTGGCGGATTTGACATCCAAACTATAAAACCACAGATTAATAATCCGCTCTTTTTGAAGCGGATTGATGCCACCGCGGAATCCGCGATGGCACAAAGTGCAGATTATTTCAGCGGATTCAGCACGGATTTTACATCCAAACTAGCCCTTATTCTTCTATATCTAATTAGGCAATTAGACAGAAAAAATGACAACATCCTTCAAAGATTTCCGTGCACGAGGTTTCCGGGCCAAATCAGATGATAATGACGACCTTAGGACCAGCTCTATTCGTGCTAGCAGGCACGTTGAAGGGAAGATCGCGTGAGGAGCAAAATCGTGAAAACACATCCGCTCTCCTGGAGCTCCGAGATATCGAAGATGAGCTGAATACTTTAAAGACCCTGTTCAACAATCAAATGACAGAGATTAGAATCATGTTAGATGTTTACGAGAAGCGAGAGTTGACTAAGAATGGGCTGATATTCTTGAGGAATGCTGAGGAGTATCTTGAGGAATATACTCAGCATGTAGAAAAAATGACGGAAAACGCAAAGAATACTAGAGACGATGTACGGCTGCTCCCCTTTTCTTGAAGAACAACCACTGAGATGATACAGTTTGACAAGCTGCTCGGCATGATACAGAGACAAGCGCAGGTAGGTAGGATACCGCAGCTATCTGATCAAAGGTACTAATTATTGATACAGGTGGATGAGGTACGTCTGGCAAGATACCAGGCTGATCTCGCCAGTGCGCAGAGCAGATCTGTTATGATATTTACGGTGAGTTTATCTATATATTCGTGATGAGCTGAGTTAATTTGTATTGAAAATAGGTCTTCACAGTTAATCTTCGTATGCTATCAACAGTAACATCCATAATCTCTGAACTAACCTCTTGCCATTAGCTGCCATTGAGTTTCTTCACAGGCTTTTTGGGATGAACGGTCCGGTGGGTTTCTCTTCTCTCTCAACTCCTGCTTTTGCGATATTATAGGCTGACATCACATCAGAGAGTGGGGTGGCGGTGATTACCTTCCTCTTCGCACTGTAGGCTTAATCGCAAGTATGAGAAATTTCCCCCACTCGTTCCAAAAGATAGAATTAACAGAATACCACCCCAACAGTCCCGACATCCTCTGCCCTTATAACGCTTGCACTCATCATCGCCTGGAGCATCCGATTCGCCATCTCTTTAATTATATTGGGAAAAAGCTTCGCATATCTACAAACTAGTATATACGAACATGTCAACAAAGCCATCGACGGAATTCATTGAGACCGAGGAAGGACTCTTGAAAAGAAGCAAGTTGAAAGGACTAAAGCAAAGGAAAAAGAAGAGAAAATCCGAAAAGGAGCAGACGAGACTGCATGAATGAAGATTGGGATTTCTGGGGAAAGTCATAAAGAGCGTAGGAGGAGAAGGAAGTATAAGATACCGAAACAAAAATCGGAGGAGTGGCTCAGTGCAGAGATTAGTATTGAGTGAAAGCGATGATTAATTCATAAATTCTATCTATATCTTATATGCTATCGTTGTAGGCAAATTAATGATTTTTTAAGTACGAAGTACCTCTCAGGCGCAAGTCTTCTAAGTAGTCTTACTAATAGAGTAGGAAACTTATATTTTCTTGATTATTTAAGCGATATCTATTACTCTGTAATGATTATTGATATATGAGAATTAAATAATAGATTAAAGATTATTATATAATATTCAACGAATGAAATATAAAGAAGAGTTTTATTATTTTATTGAATGAATTTTTGGTAATAAAAAGATATTATAAAAAGATTATAGAAATAAATTTTAATTAAAAAAAGATATAAAATAAGTTTTTATAATAAGTTTTTATTACGGAGGCAATAGCTATATCTAATAATCGCTTTGATTAGGAGATAGGTATATAGAGTAATAATAAATTAGATTGACTTGAGGTGTGATTATAAGGATTATATCTGGTTATATATTCTGATTAAATAATAGAGTTATCTAATCAGATATATAGAGTATTATCGTACAGGACAATAGCATATCACGATGGAGGGGAATGATTGGACAATAATGGTATAAGTATAAGAATGTGTATATCTCCTTATCTACAGTTAGAACTGATCTCTTTTCGTAGAGAAGAGATCGGATTATATACTGGGTGATCTTTGGGTACCGATTACAAAAGCGGTGATCGGTCCTGCAACCAATCTGGTTATTGTTGTTCCGCTTTGGAGTATTCTATATAATGAATATCTGATTATCACATGATCTGATCCATATAGTCTACAACACTGTTTCTATTATACACCCCCCAGATCGTAATGATCTGTATAAATAAATAAAGGAAATTAGTACAGTTGCATTTTGTTGGAGCCTTAATGTGATTTAGATTATATAATGAAACTATCTTATCCCTATTATGGCAGGGCTTTGATATTCATTCCCTATATGATCGGTATGAGAATGTGATATAAAGGAAATTTTGATATGCCCCTAGCCGTCAGTAAATTGTTTGATTCAGGTATTATGGGGTGATATCTCTCATTTTCCATTATATTACCTGAAAATTTTCAAAGGATTATAAATAAATATTTTCTTAAAGCCTCACTTCGCTATATATGCCTACTGATCTGTTGTTACAAATAGAGAATACAGATTCTAATTCTTATATCCGCAAATGTATACTGTAATATCAATATTATTATCTAAATAGAGTAATTGAATTGATGATCATAACAATAGTAGCATTAGATTGTCAAAGACATTCAGAAGATTCAAGCAATCTCTAATCAAGTGATCTTGCCCACATACAGAGCAGATATAATCTATAATACACATTCTTTTCTTTGAACTCTTTTTTTTTTAGATATTAATATTATTATATTTTGTTTCCTTTCAAATGGATTACCTGTCTCCTGATAAATATAGTTCTAATCAACCCAAAAACCCTGAAAAGACAGGACACCGTGGTTGACCAAGAAAGCATCCCTTTGTTATTTCTTTTTCTCCTTCTACTTATAATAAATTCTTTTCTGAACCTATATTTAAGTATAATTCATTTCCACCCTCAAGATCCCCTACTTTAATAGCGATTAATCCTCCGGCAATATTATTGACTACTCATCCGAGTAGTCTTGCTATTGTTGATCCTGTTCCTACTCCTATGAGCCCTACTGCTAATCGACCATTGACTTAACAGCCACTTCTTCCCGAAAACCTTTTTGGAAATCCCTCGATTAGTTTTCCTTAACTATTCCCTTCTACTTTGCCGTCAAATAATAACCTTACCAATCCCAACTATACTACCTTCCTTGCTTGGATATATTAAGCCTGTTAACACCCTTTACTAGAAAGTACTATTAACCCCATATTTCCTTTTGCCCCTATTGTTATTACTCCCCCTATTCCTATTCCTATTGCTATACAACAAGAATCTCTGCCTATAGCCTTACTAGAAGTAGATATTGTTATTACCCCTGAATTGATCATATACTAATTCGAAATTAGATATAATCTGTTCGAAAGTATACCTTATATAGTATTGCCCCAAGAGTTTGTTGTAATAATCCTAAATTGTATTCCTTTTATAATTTGAAAGGAGTAATTATTCCTGATTCTCAAAAGACTATTGCGATTTCCATAGGATCAAGGGAGGATTACCAACTAATCAAGATCAAGTATAAAAATCCGGATAACTTCGGAATCCCTAATCCTCTCAATAATCGATCTAAGTTGATCACCGCCATACCTACTAAATACTATTCTTTTTGTAATCCGAACAACTATTTTCGCATTTTCTTTTCCTTATATAATAATCCTAATGAGCATAGATTCTACAATCTCCATATTTCCAATAGTGATTCTGATAATAACTTGTCTTTTACAGATCTTTAATATATAAAAACTGAAAATAATCCACCAAAGGTATCTATCAAAGCTTGGTCCTCACAATCTAACAAGTTCATCAAAAGGCCAGTAAACAATTGTCCATATCTTGGCTGTATAAAGTCCTTAGTCTCTAAGCAAACGAAAACCTCAGATGATTGCTATAAGAATCTCAACCATACCAAAAGCACTTATTACTAGAGTTGCAAAACATATATATATGAGATCACTTTGGATGCTATAATCTCTATAGGAAAACTTTGTGCTGATACTTACAAGACACAGAATAAAAAGATATATACTTACTTCCATTTCTAATTGATTATAATATTGATAGCCAAGCTAGAGATTGGAAAAACTCCGCAGAACCCTTCGAAAACTCCTAACAAAGTCTGAGGCTTGCAAGTCTGCTAATTATAAAGCTATTACAATCAATCTCACGAGAAAGAACTCTTCTACCAAGAAGCATATTCCTAAGGATTCAGTTCCAAAGGCTTTTGTAAACAAAGATAAGTTGCTAGCCCTTGTTCGATGTCTTGAGAACGAGGCTCGTGAAGCGAAGAGGCTTGCTGAGGACAAACAGTGCAAACTCGATTTGCTCTTAGAAAAGGAAAAGGCCAGGAAGTATGCTAGATCAACTAAAAGAGTTCGACACAACAAATTTCGAAGGAAACTTTTTCTTCGAAATACGACCCGTTCGCGATCGATTTAGATCATAGTTATTAAACCAAATTGATTGCAATTGCCCCCCAGTGATTCTGACCAGTAGTTGTTGTGCTACTGTCGTCGGCGCTCCGAACACGAAACATACACGAAAATTCGCGTAAAATTTTCTCACTCCGAACTACCAGAATAAGAACTAGATCCTCAATATGAGCTCTCTTAACAATCCATCAACATTTAGGGATACGGCCATGATGGAGGCTCCTTCTGAAGCCTCCATTATACCAAACACTTATCCTACTGTTGTCCTAGGTACCCCAATATCTTCAAGCCCTCCCCCGCCTTCTGAAAACCCTCAATTCGAAATCTCTAGCCCTATCCTATCAACCAACCAGCCAGCCAGTTCTGGAAGAAGATTTGAAGAATTCAATCTACTTAGTGACCCCTTTATTACTCAAGATACAACCAATACTACCTATATATTCAATCAGAATAAGAAACGGGGCCCTACAATACCCCTTAGCAATCAGAACAAACAACCTAGAATCCAAAACAACCCAAACACACCCAAGGAAGCTATTTTGAAAGCTAGAGACCTTATAGTGCTAGCTTCCTCTCTCTCCCAATCACGCGAAGAACAATCCAAGCTCTTAGATCTCCTAGAGATCTTTAGAGAATATACTGAAAAGGGGAAGCTTACTACAGCTTCGAATATCATCACCTCTCAAATCACCCATTTGGAAACCGCTACACGCAAAATCGAATCACAAGCGAAAGCATTAGCTAAACCTCTTCCGCCCACTACTGCTACTACCACTACATTGAAACCAACATACGCTGATATTTCAAAAAAAGGAGAATGGAATTTAGTCCCCAAAGGGAAAAACATTACATCTACTAATATAGAAAAGAAATCTAACCTCATCCAAAAACGAATTATCTTAATCAAGCCAGATTTTCCAAACCCTACCTCCTTTTCCCCTCTAATTATCCGAAACAAAATAAATGAAGCCTTTCAAAAGATCGGAATCAAAGGGCCAGTCATTGCAGCAGCAACTATATCCTTCAATAATAATATCATTATCACAACAAATGATCCCTTTACATCACAATTCTTATTGGAGAAGAAAGCGATTTGGAGTAATATTATCAAATTCGAAAGAATCCAAAAGGATCAAGAATGGCACAAAGTCATTATTCACAAAATCCCAATTAAAGAATTCTCAGGCACAAAAGGAATGGATCTTATACTCGACGAAATCAAAACCTTCAATCCAGACTTCAAGCCTATAGGAACCCCCTTTTGGCTTACACCCGCCCCCAGAAGAGCCCATCAACGAGAGGGTGCTATCGTTATTGCTTTTGCTACAAAATCAGAAGCAGAATTAGCTATTCGAAAGCGATTATATATTGCTGGAAGTAGTATAAGAGTAGAACAATTCTACGAATCAAAACCAACTACACAATGTCAGAAATGTCAAGGATTTGGGCATCAGGATGCCTATTGTAGAAGGAACCCTTCCTGTGGATTATGTGGAGGCAAGCACATTACATCAGTACACTTGTGTATGGTATGTAATATCAGAGGAAAGTTCTGTCAACACTTAGAAGTAAAATGCTCGAATTGCCAAGGGAATCATGCAGCAAATTCGAAAACATGCGAAACCTATCAGGCTATTCAACAAAAATCGAATACTACTCATTAATGAGTCACACTAATATTCGAATCCTTCAAA